GCACCAGTGACCTTCCAGTCCTATATCAATAGAGTGCTGGCAGGCCTGGTTGACATATGCTGTGTAGTTTACCTAGATAATATTCTTATTTTCTCAGTCTCAGAGAGAGAGCACAAGAAACATGTTAGACTAGTTATGGAGTGTCTAAGAGAATATCAGTTGTTTGCAAAGCTTGCCAAGTGCACTTTCAAAAGATAAATAATCTCATATCTTGAATATATTATTGATAATGAAGGTATTAAGATGAACTCAAAGTGGGTACAGATGATTATGGAGTGGCCCTTGCCACAAAGTTTCCATGATATTCAGATATTCCTGAGTTTTGTGAACTTCTATTGGAGGTTCATACAAAAGTACTCAGTTATTGTGGTGCTGTTGACAGATCTCTTGAAGAGCAGTAAAAAGAGAAGAAAGAAAGAATCTTTTCTTCTGACACCCACTACCAGAAAAGTATTTTGTGAGTTGCAGATGATCTTCTTCAGAAAGCCTGTCATCCAGCACTATAATCCAGAATGTAGAATATGTCTGGAGACAGATGCTTTGAAACATGCTGCAGATACAATATTGCTACAGCTGTTTGAAGATAAGTGATATCCAGTTGTCTACTGGTTATTCAAGTTTAACCAGACTCAACAAGTCTATGGCACACCAGATAAGAAGATGTTGGCCATCATCTGAGTATTTGTTTATTAATGGCAGTACTTAGAAGAAACAAAGTACTCTGTAGAGATTATTACAGACCATGCAAATCTTTGTTCATTTATAAAGTCCATAAACAAGGTGACACAACAACAACATATAAGATAGATAGAGATTCTTGAGGTATATAACTTTAAGATCCTCTATCACTCTGAGAAGCATAATCCAGCCAACACATTATCACAAAGATCAGATTATATCAAACTAGAAGAAGACATTGGTCTGCTGACATATACACTCAAACAACATTATATGAATGGTGTTCCAGAGTGGAACCTATTTGAAGAAACTTTCTTTGATGAAGAAGATATCCAAGTACATATTGCTTGTGCTGTTCAAAGTAGTAAGGTAGAGATAGTACAGAAGAGACCTGATGGCATCAAGATGGTTGAGTCAGTTCAGAGAGCACCAGCCAAAGATGCTGAGAAGACTTAATAAAGAAATTGCAGGAGATTCTGGATTCCCTGTGTGCATATGAACATAGTGACAAAAAACAAAAAGATCTATAATAAACTAACTATAAATGTGTTAGATCTGCTGCTAGAAGTACAGAGAGATAATCTCTCTGTACAAGTAAGATTTGCTGAGATAGAATCTCAGCAGTCAGAGTAAAAAATAGACAAACAAGATCTTTTAATGAAGAGTGGCAGGATCTACATCTCTAACAATCTAGCTCTAAGACAGAAACTACTACAAGTTCACTATAATGACTCATTCACAGATCACTTTGGCATAGTGAAGACATTTATCTTGCTCTAGTGAAAATACAATTTACAATTAATAAGACAAGATGTCCAGACATACATACATGAATGCTAAATCTGTCAATAAGGGAAGACTCCAATGCACAAACCATATAGGTTGCTTACATTATTGCTGATATCTAGTAGTTTCTAGTATTCAATATCCATGAACTTTATAACAGATCTCTCTCTGAGTGAAGAGAAGAGAAATCTATATAATGCAGTTCTGATTATTGTGGATTGGTTTACAAAGCTTGCATGTTTTCTTGTGTGTAGAAAGAAGATTAACATGCCAGAGATAGCAAATCTTCTGTTTAAAAGAGTGTTTAAAGACTTCAGATTTTCAAATAATATTGTTTTGAACTGAGGATCTGTTTTCACAAGTAAATACTGGTCAGAGCTATATTTTTACATGAAAGTTAGATAAAAACTTAGCACAGCATTCCACCCACAAATAAATGGCCAAACAGAGGCACTGAACAAGATTTTGGAGAAATATCTTTGTGTCTATTGTAGCTATAGACAAGACAACTGGAAGAAGTAACTTGTATATACAGAATTTGCATATAACAGATCAGAATACTCTGTAACACACATGTCTCTATTCAAAGCAATGTACAGCTTTGAATCTAGAGAACCAGATGAGATTCAGAAGTTGGTTAATAATGATGATGACACACAGATAGTGCCCAACAGAAGACTGAGAATGATCTCTGTATTAAGAGATAGTCTGGTAGAATATTTGACAAAAGCAAAAGAGAACCAAGTACAGTTCTATAACTGAAGATATCAAGATAAAGTGTATGCATCTGATGATAAAGTAATATTATCATCAAGAAATCTACAAACAATACATTCTTGCAAGAAGTTAGATGACAAGTACTATGAATCTTTCTTAGTGATAGAGACTATAGAAAATAATATATATCAACTGAAGCTCTCTCCAAGCTATCAGATTCACAATATTTTTCATATCTCATTATTAAAACTGTACTGCATGAGAATGAGTGAGATGCCAATATATTCTCCTGCAGTACTGATAGATAATCATCATGAGTGGGAAGTAGACAAAATCTTGAATAACAAAGCATGCTATCACAAGAGATGTTATCTAGTGAAGTGGAAAGAATTCTCTATTGAGAAATTGATGTAGAAACCTGAGAAAAATCTTGAAAATGCACAAGAAATTCTTAAGAATTATCTAAAGAAAAGACAAAATTACAAGAAAACAAACAAACCTACATACAGAAAGAAAGATAAACATAACATGAAACAAATATAAAGATCACAATGCACCTACAAAATCAAGAATTTAACAGTAAGAAGATGTACTGTAAGGGCATCTGAGATATAGCTGTAATAGTGATGAACCAGCCATAGATAAGTGAGGCTTGGAAGTCACAGATATATTTGATATAATAATAAATGAGACTACAACAGAAGATACAGTTATAAAGAAAGATATTACAGATAAAGAAGTATAAAGAGAACAAAATATTTCTACAATACTCTAAAAATCAGAAGAAACAACATTAATTAGATAATTAATAGAAGATGTGAGATTGATCTAAGCAGAAGTTAGTCTGAGAACAAGTAAGATAATACAGAAAATCTATAAGATTAGTTTCCATACTGTCTTAAAGAGCTTTGATTTCACTTATTAAACAAGTTATAAGATAGTTAAGCAAGACTTAAACATTTGCAACTTTATTTTTTATCTGAGAGAGAACAGTACAAACTGAGCTTGACAAACAAGAGAACTTAAACAGACTGTCTTTAGTAGATTCTGTCTTGAACATAAGATTTATAGTCTTGACTACATAGTATGAGACAGAACAACAATATTTTATAAAAGATTCTTCAACAGTAGAAGTAATCTGACAGCAGTGATATTTAGTAGCTCCTGAGTCAAGCCCACAAAATTTACATATAAGTATACTCATGCACTTGATGTTGTACAGACAATATGAATTAACTGTGTCAAAACTATAGTATTCTTCTTAAAGTCACAAGAGCTGACAAACTAGTTCAACAGCAGATTCTGGAATCTACAGCCATATCAGAACAACAAGAAGAACAGACAAAGATATACTTACATCACAACAGATATAAGTTTGACATTCTAAATAATAAGAACAAGATTTCTTCTCAGTATTCTATAGACAAGACTTGTCTTTATCTAGATGATCTGTAAATATTAAGTAAATACAGACAGAGTACAAAAGAGTGTCTTCTTTATTATATGCAACAGAGTCTTTCAACAACAATATTATGACAAGTTATAAAATAAATAAGAAACAATGCCTGAGCTCAAATAAAGCAGAAGAAAAGAAGAAAGAAGAGAGTCAGAAACTCTCTATTTATACTCATCATAATACACTAAGATTGCTAGTCTTATAACTTGTTGATAAACAATATAACAATAAACAACAGATAATATAACAACCAGACAAGCAAACAAACAAAGAAACAAGTATATAATAAAATACTGAACTTTTGTAATAAAATAATTGCTGTTCTATAATAAAGAATATCTACTGCAACTGGTGGTGATACACATGCAGAATATCTATATAGACAAGCAGTAAGTAATGCAGAAGCTTACACATTCAAGAATCTACAATGCTCCATCAATAATAGAGGAGCTACAACAACATACAAAAAACCACTTCAGTAGCTCTATGTCTCAGAGTCTGAGATCTCTGGGAGAGGGGATAGTGTTACAAATATAGATCTAGACCAATCAAGCATCAGACAATGTTAGATGTTCAGAGGTATTCACATGACCCCAACACTGAACATATAAGAATCACACAATTCATATAGATCATGGGAACCCCAGCATTCACTCTCTGAGTGAGGGAATCTCTATATTTTACACACAACTCTCTCCCATCAGTTGCAGGCATCATACCTACTTAGCTCTTTCATACCCCTAATCCTGGGAAAACCTACATGACCTACAACTGGTTCACCTAACAGTATCAACAACTATAATCATAAGTAATTAAATAAATTATCAAATTACAAGCATATAGAAGTACTTAAAGCACTGATAGTTATCTGCTATCTGTTTATTTTAATTAATTACTTTGAGATAAATACATTTGATCTTGTTATTATACTGCTTATAAAATTAATTAATTTAGTTAATCTTAATATTCTCTTTTGTCATCTCTTGTATGATATTTTGTAGAATCTGAAATATAATGGCAAGACTGTAGCTAAAGAGCTTATTTATATAATTCAGAAGCTCTGTCTTCTGTATATCAGAGAGCTTTTTCTTATATCAGAAGACTGCTTTATTCTGAGCAAGTTGCAAGTCTTTATACTATCAGCATAAAGTCTCTTGATTAACTGAGTACTTTCTTACAGTTACAGTATAATTTAGAGTCTCTTGTGATTCAAGATCTTCAATTGCAAGTTTAATTAAGATATTGTTGACCATGTTGTTGCATATTGAATGTTGAATGTTGGAGGAATTTTGGTGGTGGAAGATTTGGCTCATTTAGTGGTGTGGCTCGCTTAGTGGTGAACTACCTTACATAGTCCTAAAATCTAATTCCTGTTCACCACCTCTTGAGTGGAAGCTAATGCTTTCGCAATTAGGCCAACACGATCGACAATGAGCATGTCAATTCCAGCATCAACTTGTACCTGTATAAGTGGAAAGGAACATTAGCACAACGTGACATGCAGCATATCTTCGTCGAGTCCAAGTCAGACAACGAACCTTTGCGTTTTCCGGCACATTATTCACTAGTCCGTATGAAGCGCAGAGAAGCCCAGACCTTTGTACGTATTGAATGAGACGCGGACACAATAAAAAGGTCTCTGCGGCGAGAACGACACCGGTAAAGTTCCACTGCCTTGCGAATTGAATAGCGACCTGGAGACTGGCTCCACGCTTCTCCATATCTGTTATGGGACGTTTGCCAGCATTGGTAATAAACATGATCGGATACCCCCTAGCCTTACGCGATAGAAGAATGCAAATTTCAGGGGTAAATGACGCCAGAACAATATTTCTCCCGGCGCCGAAACGGTGGATTTTGTCGAGGATTACATCGATGAATGCGTTTACCTCAATTGCAACAGGTGCAACACTGGCATCTGCAGCTTCGTGCGGTCTAGGATACTCTGTGATGCTCGGTTAACATCCATTTTATTGCCGTCTCTTCCGTGTGAAGACCTACTTAGCTCAATAACAAACCCAAGATCCTTGGGCAACTTAATAAGTAGGTCTTCCAGTGTCGCAAACGGACTCTGTATGGAAGTTCCCTGGCTGTTAGGCTTAAACCCTTTCTTCATAAAGTCTACGGTGTGCTGTAGTCTATAATTGGCGCTGGCAAATTTATCGTCGTATCTCGTCAACGATTGTGAGCGAGGATTTCGTTGGCATGCTCGATCATTCGGCAAGCTCCGGACCAAGTCATCTAGAAGTGCAGATTTACCGGAATAGAGAAACTAAAGTTGTTAACAAATGACAGCTACCAATGACGGGTAAGCTTACCTGATTTAGGCTCACATCATGGATCGGCACATCCGTTCCTGACTCGCTCAGGGAGAAATCATGATAAATGATCGGGACCAGGTCTCTTGTTACCTGAACGTCTACACAATTGTGGTTTAGCATTCAAGGATAACATCAACAGATGATGACGATTTACCAAACTGCAAGCCGTTAGACAGGATTGCACAAGAGTTTGCTTAATGACTTACTTCCACCAATGAGGCGCCCATTGTTTTCGCTGAAAGACAGGACTAGTCCTATTAGTCTAATGTCCCGAAGGCTAGGAGGGTATCACCTGTCCTACTTCAACTGTATTCTCCCCTAGCTGAAGATAGTCCCGCTCTGCTGTGTTCTGGCCGAAGCCTATCTAAATGTAAGCAAGTAACAGCTGAGATGTAGGTATTAAACGTTACCTCTGTGGCCCACGAGCTGTACGGAGTTTGATATTGGTATGAGCTGCGCTGGTGGGCGACCGGTGCTGGCGTAGGGCTTTGCTATAACATACGTGAACGAGACGGTGCCTATAAAGTCTAATGTATTCTTGGACATGATGGAAATGCTACGTGTTCTTATTAGGGATTCACGATCAGGAGTGCAGGAATGGCAGGCGTTCTCTAGAAGAGCAGTGCCACCTCCAACAAGAGGACCCTTTTGACCGCCTGTGCCAACACCGCGGAAAAGTTTGAATATGATTTGAGGTGTAGCTGATTTTCCTACTGGGAATAGCAATGGGTTACTCGCGTCGTCCAGTATGGGCAATTGAAGTAAATAGCTTGGACCACCCGGTAAAGAAACTTCGATCGAAAAGCTTTCGGGATGTGATGTTGGATCAAAGTTAAGCGCAACGGCTGCCATTTGCTTGTTCGTTTGCATTGGACCAAGATTCAGGACTAGACAGCTTTCATCACCTTTGGTCATAAAGCTGGAGCTCACAGTGTCTGGTTGTAAATTGCTAGGCCCGCCAAATGGACCTAAACTTTCGTGCGTTGGGAGCAGATTGGCTATATGGAGATGACCTCGAAAAGCCGCATGTTCTTTTGCAGTCCAACCACGACGGTCGACCATCGTATGGCTTGCCTTTGCCTGTAGCAAGATCTCGACTATTTCGAGGTGACCCATTATGCAAGCCAGAATGAGTGGTGTCCAGCCGCGTGTGGTTTCGGCTACATCGATGCTGGCCATCGAGTGGGACATTGCTTGAAGGATTATCTTCACATAGTCTGTTCGGCCGATCTGAACGGCGACATGAAGAGCGGTTTTCCCCTGGTTAGAATGGCAATCCACGTGTGATTGTGCCCAGGATAATAAAGAGACTATGTGATCGTGTTGGCACTTGAGGGCGATTAGAAGGATGTCACCCAACAGGTGAGCCAGAGTGTCCTTTATTTTTTGATCCGCTTGATTGGTAATTTTGAGCGCTTGTAGAAACAATTTGACGATTGCTGTATGGCCGTAGATCACGGCCAGGTTCAGGGGTGTGTGACCCTCGCAATCCTTCAGAAGTAACGCCTCTTCAATATGTAATGGGGTGTCAGGCAAAAGAACCATGGCAAATGGATATATGCCATGGATAGCGGCATAATGAAGCGGAAGACGCCCTCGAAAATCAACGATTCGTAGACAACTTTTTTCAATTTGACCCGATTCAATCATATCACGCATGATTAAACATAAGGAGTTGTCCGCGTCGCCTCGTATACCATTATCAGATGCCTGCTCATCAATACGGCTTTTGGATATTCTCTCTCGACCAAGGCTAGCTATGTAGCGGTTTAGAAATCCAGAATTAATCATGAAGGGGCCTTTGCTCCCGAGTTCAGTGATCAATATTTCAAAGCACTTTCTAGATTGAGAAACTGTGCAAAACTGCATCAACAGCTCCAGCATTTCAGAATACTCTATGCGATCTCTTGTTGAATATTGGGCTAGGAGCTCTGATAGGACCGTATCCCGATCGCCCACAATTGCTGTGAGAACATGTTCGGGATAAATTGCGAAGGGAAACTTGGCTTTCGAGAGAAAGAGCGATCGCAGAGGAGCCTGCGCCTTCCGGTCACGAAGAGAACGAGTGATATCTTTCTCCAAGCTTCTTAATCTTTCGCCATCACTGTTGCACTGGGCGTCAAAAGTAGGTTGGACATCCACTAACAGCCTCCTCGGGCTATTGCCTCCGTTGATCTTCTCAAGCTTGTCGCACAGTCTAGACAAAGCTTCTCCATTGACTCTATCGTACCATTGTAGCCTCGCTAAATCCGCTTGAAGCTCGAGAATGGATTCAAGGATATGGCGGGGTTCACATTCATGCAACGATGCGAGGTCCGGGATTGTCAAAACTGGAAATCGCAAACCGTATGTTGAGCAGAGTGCTCTCTCCTGGTGTTCTAGAAAGCTGTATAGAAGCTGGTGGAACGTTTTGAAGACATTAATATCACTTTCGAGATACTCATAGCTCTCTATGGGCCTTGTCAGCATTGTAACTGAGGGGTGCCACCTGTAAACCCTGAAGCCACAGACCTTCTTGGCTAGGGCTGCCTCCCGGCTGAGATGCCTTGATCAGAGCCTTGATGTGGTTGTAGCGGGCATAATACGGGGCCCATTCCCGAATTTGATGGCGATGGAAGTTCTGGCCAAACTTCATTCTGTCAAACGGATGCGCGGTCGAGCAGCACACGAAGGACCATCGCGATGCTGCACTCAAAAGCAGCCTCCTTCAGCCGCATGGTGCGGGGTTGTTGTTGGATGGTGGGGTTATTTCCACCAATCAACCCTCAGGGCTGCGCGGGAATCCCGCCCGAACCCCACCGTGATGGCCCAGAGAGGCTAGCACCATTATGTCAGCCAAGCTGTCCTTGTGATTGGCTCCGGCTGTGGACGTCCGACATTGCATCGCAAAGGGCTGCAGGGAGCGACAGGGGGGCTGAGGCTTGAAAAGGGGCCTGGTCGCCCCGTGGTCTCTTCGACCTTCAAGAGGACATCATTAATATCCCTCTGCGCTCAAGTGATATTCTTGGGCCTGGCTGCTTTTGGCTGCACGCCGTCATGTCACCGTGGTAGGTAGGGTCGTTTGCTTTGATGGAGGCAAAGAGCCCACAGCGCAGAGAAGGATCACTCCATCTTTGACAAGGTCTACCCTTCCCGGCCTAACTGGTTACCCGTCACCACCATGGATCCGCTCTCCATCACCGCAAGCATCGCGGGCGTCACCACTCTCGCCTTTCAAATCTGCTCATCACTCGCTAAGCTGCGGTCCCTATGTAAGAGCTTACCCGGGCGACTTCACGCAATCAACAACGAAGTGTCAGATCTTGAGGTCGTCCTTCACCAGGTGGCAATACTGGTTAAAAACCGAGCAAATATCCTGCCGGAGACTCAAATTGCTGCGATCCCGTACCTTTTGAAACAGGCAGCTCTCAAATTGAGCGAGCTTAAAAGCGTCGTTGACAAGATCCTCGACACCGTCGGCAAAGCTAAATTTGGTCTCTCTGGCGCCTACGCTTGGCGGAAAGAGCAAGATACTTTGAAAGCTCTCCAAGACGATATCCGCTCCATCAAGTGCAATTTGAACATCCTCCTTGGAGCTTCAAACTCGTACGTTTTGCTACGGGCAGTTTCTTTATGATTGTCAGTCACAACGCTTTTTAACCAAGTCATACTGACTGGGAGGCGGTTGGCTCAGCCATGATATGGTTCAGATCTATCTCAGCATTCAAGCCATATCTGCATTCACCCTACAGTCCTCACAGGAGCAAGTTTCCATGAAAGATAAATTCATAGATACCCTTACGACCGTGGATGAGCGAATAACTCGAGTGGAGCAAATGCTCCAAACACAAACTCATCAGCTTCAGGCGACCCAATTCCAACAAGTTGGTGCGTTGTACAATGTCCGTCGGACCAACCGGCGCCAAAGTCGATCACGGCCGAATAATCCTACGGTAACCACTCCAAACTCGGAGGGTTTGGCGGTGCGCGTCAGTCCTTATGTTGTGTCCTGCCGGAGCGACTGCCGGTGTTCATGTCATAAGCAACAAAAGTCGTCAACCCCGGCGCTTTTGAACCGTGTATTTGGGCAACTATTCATCGGGTATGCAGGGTTACCTTTCGTCAGCCCGAAGTGCGACATCGAAAGCTGCAGAAAATCTCAAGCAAGTCAAGTTAGCCTAGAATACTGGTTTCCCCTTGGGTTTTTCTCCTCCACTATCGTACGAATGCAACTTGGTCATCATCACAACATGGGATCACTCTTTCATCTCGATACGTTGACAAGAGTGCCTGACTCGGCCCAGTGCGTGAATCTTGCCGTAAAAGGCGATATCGACGGTTTAAAACACTTGTTTACCCATGGTCTGGCTTCTCCTCGTGATGTCAGCACTAGCAGAGGATACTCCCTGCTTCGATGGGCACTTTACGCGAAACAGTACGACACGTGCGAGTTCTTGATATATGCAGGAGCAGACCCCGATTACAGGCCTTTGGCAGGCTCTGACAACAGTCCACGAATTAAGGCGTGCCATTTCTTACTTGAGGGTGGCCTCCCTGACCAGGGCGTCGTCGCCCTTAAGACCATCACTAAAGGGAGCTATTTTGAAGACTTTATCGAGGACTCAAACTTTACACAGATCCACAGGGTTGTACTGGGTCTATCTCTTCTTGACCTGGAGGATGAGATTGTGTTGCATCCTGAAGATCTTAATGCAACTGATTCCATGGGCAGAACTCCCCTTGCTTGGGCTGCTGCGCGTGGAGATAGCCGAAGTGTTGTCACTCTCCTTAGCCATGGCGCTGATCCAAATATTACAGACGTTCAGCTATCTGGACCTGTGTCTAATGCTGCAGCCCGGGGTCATACAGTTTGTGTTCGCCTCTTACTGGAGGCTGGTGCCGACCCCGATCCACCCTTGCCAAGCGGAGTACGGAAAGGCAGCCCTCTCACCGTCGCAACGCGCAACGCCGCAGACCCAATGTTGTTAAAGAGCTTGCTCGACTTTGGCGCAGTCGTCGATTCACGCGGTTCTGATGGTCAGACACCACTCATCCACGCTTCTCAAACGGATAACTCGAGTTTTGCCATGCTTCTACTTGAGTATGGCGCGGATATAAATGCATTCACGGACACCGGGTCGACACCCTTGACCACGGCAATTACGTACAACAGCCACAATGTCCTTCGATTAATCCTTGACAGATGGCACGAGTACTCTTCATGTCCACGCCTGAAGGGGCCCAATCTCTTGGAGCTGGTTGCGTTATATGCAGATATTGAAACCATCAATATTTTAGCGGGCACGGAGCATTTCAGACTGAGAAGTGATAGGCAATACACACTCGGAGACTTCAAGAGCCGCTTGCTCAAACGTCCAGACGTGACAGAAAAACTAGCCTTTGCATTTGATGAATTGCTGGATATTATAAACCACATGCCCGACACCAGGGAGGGCACAGAAAGCATTTTGGAGGCTGGCTTTTACTCCTGCACTTCTTCACCTATCGTTCTCGAGGATGGGCAAGGCTTCGAAAGGCTTGCCAGGCGTTTCTTTCCTTGTCTGTCCTCCTCGGACTCTGATAGTGACCAAAATATCAAGTGGCAGTCTTGGAGCGACGAAAGTTCGAATGACAATTTTCAGGACGCCCTTGAGGATATTCATTCAGAATCCAAGCGCTAGAGTCTCTTCCCCCCCCCCCCAAACAAACAAACCAAAAAAAAAAAAAAAAAAAAAAAGGAAAAGAGAGAAAAAGAGGGAACAGAGGAAAAGGTTTGAGCTTCACTACGAAGCTCAAGGAAGAAGACGAGCTTGCCATGACGAAATACCACGTAATGTTCTCAAAATCTGGAAAATTCGCAGCTCCTATATACGAATAACCTGGCCAGAAATGTCTGACGTTGATGATTTTTATATCGTCTCCCAATCCGTTGCTTGGATAATAAGTCGGATAATCCTATATCTCCACAACTACGCCTTCTGGGGGAAAGAAATGTAGTCTTTACCAGATACTTGGCTCGGCTACTGTTAGCAAGATGTTTGACAAGCTTTTTGACTTCTAGGTACATTCTATGCCCGTAAGTGGAAATAGCATCAACAACCGTTGATACACTTTACGGTGTAATCCTCCCACAACTCGACGAAAGAACCGTCTCAACCTTATTATCGAATCTCAAGGCTTTACGGCATAAATCTTGAAAGAGCCTATGATGGTGTCAACAAATCACGTACGGCTCCCGATCAGTTGAAGTATCTTACCTGCCCATTCATTGAAATCAATACTTTTAATTGTCGGCTTGAGTGGAGTGCAGGTGTTGGTGCCTCCACAACATGGCATGTCGGCACCGTCATCTTTGGCGGTAGTATATATATTTAAATCGCTGTTCGTGTCCACGATTACGGAGTCTGCTTGCGTCAGAAATATTTCAGGCATTGAGCTTGTATTCCCAAACGGGGATCAACATACCATTGAACCCAGCATTGCGGAAATATTGCTGGTAGCCTGAAACCTGGCTCGCGCCTGCTACGCAGCCAACATAGAGAGCCATGTCATTCCTGATTTCTGGTGGAAGCTCCTTTCTCGCGAGGATGTCACTGATGGCCACACGACCACCAGGCTTGAGGAGTCGAAACATTTCGTTGAAGACGAGTTGTTTCTCTGCTTCTGGGACGAGATTGACCACGCAGTTGCTGATGATGCAGTCCGCTGTAGCATCGGGCAGCTTGACATCGGTTATGCGAGACTCAACGAACGACACGTTATCTGCTTTGGCAGTCTCTTTGTTTTTATGTGCTCGTTCAAGCATATCCTGGAGCTAAATTAGCTCATACTCAGTTAAAAGGGCCGACAAGAGATATCTTCAGCCGAATTTCGAGGAAGTGAAGTGGACTGACCTTATTCATGTCGACTCCAATGACCTTCCCTGTAGCACCAACTCTCTTGGCCGCCAGAAAAACGTCGAATCCTGCTCCGCTGCCAAAGTCGACAACCGTTTCTCCCTTCCATGGGTCAGCTTAAGTGGTTTCGTTGCGTGATCACCGTCATACTGGGGAGTCCTTACCTCCTTCAGGTTCGCCAAGGCCAGCGGATTTCCGCAGCTCAGCCCCAGATTCGCATCTTTTGGGATGCTGGTGAGCTCAGACTCGCTATAGCCGAATGCCTCGGCCACCTTTTTGCTGTATTCGTTATCAGTGGTTTTGGCGGCGGAGCTGTAATGCTCCTGGACGTCCGCATAGACTTGTTTGTTGTCCATAGTGGTAGATATCCTTGTACGTATGTGTGCCGTGTGGGAGGATAATGTTTCCTTTGGATAGCCTGCTATGGAAGAGAACTGCAAAAATTAAGTGCAAATGGGACACTTGCCTGATATATTTATATTCCTCGTGTCTTTCGCCGTTCTTCTTACTGCCGGGCCGCCGTATGACGATCGACCAATCAGGGCGTGCGAGTGACATTCCAATCCTCCAACGCCACTCCGTAGTTAACGGCTCCAGAGAAGCCCCGCTCGCCGGCTCGAGACGGGTTGAAAACAAAAAGGCAAATCAGAGGAATTGGCTGGCTACACTTTTCGTTTCCGTGTTGAGATAATACATACAGTGAATATAAATCAAGCATAAGCATGAAATCTAGCAATACATCAGGGTGTAACATGGCTGTTCCAATCTTTTCTGAACATACGAAGAAGTCTAAAACAACTCAGAATGCGGGGATTATAGCACCAAGCAAGCAGTAAAAATGAAGGCAGACATCTACAGACAACAAAGTCCGTGCTTATACACCCTGCGGTTTTGTCACATTATGAATTGTCTCTTGAACCCCTGGGCTTTCCTGCACTGTTCCCATGATTAGGCTGGTCTTCATACCTTTCCGCAGCCTGGAAACAGATTCCTTCTGCCCCTTGAAGGGTGTGTATTGGAGTTGGAGGAGTTTAGTGGCTTCCACGTCACAAGTACGACTGAGTTGAGCCAGCTGCACCAGCTTCTGTTGCGCCTGGGGCGAGAGACTCGCGGATGGCTGATTTGATGATGAGGCGTGTGGTGGGGCGATTTGGGAGATGAAAATGTTTAGAGTGACGGACGCGGTGCGCGCGAGGCTTAGAATCTGGAACGGAAGAAGATAAAATGCATTCAGGCTGAAGAGACTGGAGAGCCAGGCTGGGAGATATGTAGCAGGCATGAATACTCCATCACGGTGCGTGAGGAGAGACACTTCGAGGACAAAAAGGGCAAACAGCGTATAGAATCGCCACTGACTGAGGTTTCAGCATCTCATCGATGAGTCGGCGGATTACGCGAAACTTACGTATCTTCCCCATGGCGAAAACCAAAATGTATTCAAAAGTGCTAATGTCACTAATCCAACAAAGTACTGCGGTAGTAACGCATACAGCCCTTCGTACAGGAGCTGCGTAATGGTGTAGGTCTTTCTGCCTTCGATGACCTCCCTCCCAAATCGATCATAGACGAATCGCCTGGTGGGGTCAAGCAGCGTGTCCTGCGCAAGTTTAAGATGGACAAAAAGGTCGCCGGTGCTCGTGCTCTCAAAGCCACCTTGTTTATCAGGGTGGTGAAGCGCGGCTAGTCGCCTGAATCGGGACTTGATGGTCCGATCGTCGGCGGTAGGTAGCACACCGAGGATCTGATAAAAATCTCCCTGCGCGCGGATGCGGTGGTATGCGTCATAAAAGGTGTAGAGAAGATAGCTCGTCACGACAAATATGTATATTCGGCGATAATGTCGGGCATAGCAGGGAGAGGAAGGATGTGGATGCGGTGAACCAGCACGGATGGTAATACGATAGTAAACAGATTGGAGGAACGAGGAGATAAACTGGGTCTTGGTTAGCGAACTGAATGTCCGGTGGATGAGACGTGGAGACTTACGCGGGGGAGAAAGGCCCAGCCAGCAAAGGAGAGAATAGAACCAGTGATGTCGCTCATATTCTCTATTGCATCCAGTAAGGAAACAATACTCTCATTAGAGTGGAGTTAGAACAAGAAAGCAAAATCAAAAAGGAGAGAAAGTCTACCGCCCATTCAATGTCACCTTCATCGCAGTGGATGTGCCCTGGTGCTCTGTTATGTGATAGCTGTCATCGTCGCGGCGCTCTATTGCAGCGAAATAAGCGCGCGCTTAAGGCTGCTAGTTCCCGCTAGTGAGCCCCAAGCCGGACCGCCAAACCGCAAATCTCATGGGAGAAAATTTCTCTGCGACGAAAAAAATACCACGGCTGCAGCGCTCGACTGGACGGAAATACCTAACCACAAACACAACAATGGAGACAATGTTGGTATCGTCGCCTGTGAAAAAGAGGAAGAATAAAGATGAAGACCACAAGTTGTCGAAAAAGCGAAAACACCATGATCCCGGCACACACTCCAGTCCCGAGCACAAGAAAAAGGAGAAGCATCACCGCAAACACAAAAGCAATGCTGAGCCACTACATCCAGAATTCTCCTTGGAGCATACGAAACCTCTCAGCAAGTCGCAAGGCTCTCAAGCCAACTCCCAAGACCCCATAGATTCCTCGCCTTTCCACCTCGTCGAAACGACCTTATACCTACCTCTCTCGCCGATCTCACTCTCTCCCACTCACGCTCTCTCATGCTTGATATCCGAACACGTTGCGCCACTACTATTAACTTACTATCCACCGGTCCGAGGAATAGTCCTTGCTTTCTCTAACCCGTCAATCTCATCCACACCTCCCCACCATTCATCAAGCTCCCACCAAAGCGCTACAACTCCGCAACCGCTTACTCTCGCCGTAACTGCTGGCGAATACGGCGTCCTGTACGTTTATCTAACGATCACCTTACTCGTCTTTCGCCCGGAGCGCGGCCAGACTCTAGAGGGATGGATAAACGTGCAATCGGAAGGTTTCCTGGGCGCCGTCGTTCTCAATCTCTTCTCCGTCGGAATCGAACGCAAACGGCTCCCCCCAGACTGGAAATGGGTAGCTCCCGGTCAGCAACCGGAATCAACACCGACTACGACGCAGGACGAAGATGATTCCGACACCAACTCAGATACGGAAATTTTTCGCCCGCTTAAAGGCGATAAACATATTCCCGATGAGCATGATGATGAGGCGTCTGCAGCGATGGGGTATTTCCAGACGCGTTCTGGGAAACGGGTTCGTGGGATGATTAAGTTCCGTGTGAGAGATGTGGATGTAATTCCCGGCAGCGAGTGGGATAAGGGCTTCCTTAGCCTTGAAGGAACAATGTTGAGCCCGGTGGAAGAAGGAAAGCTGATTACAGAAGAGAAGAGACGGATTTTGGGGTATCAAAAAGGCGTGACTATCGTTCAGAGCAGTGATGGTGATGTGGAGATGTCTGGAGGCCTCGTGGCCGAAGAAAGTCGCGACGATCGCGCAGCAGGGAGTGCGGAGAAAGAGAAGAAGAAGAGAAAGAAAAAGTCGAAGCAATAGTACACCTATCTCACTGATCTAGGAGCCATTCGTACGGAATCGAGGTTTGACCTGGAAGTTTGCATCGGAGTTAAACACTGGCTGGATAACATAAATTGCGGCTGAAAGAATTCACTGACTTAATATTATTCGTATTGCTCTAACTATATCGACTGTTACATATTTATGAAATTGCTTCTTACAAAACCAGAAGCACACGAAATTATGCACTGCACCAATTGGAAAATTTACATTCTTATTGTGCTGGGGAGGTCCAACGACAGTATATCCAAACCTTTCTCCAATTCCTTCTTCGTCGGCATGTTTCCTCTTCTCATTAACTCTGCACACTTAGAATTTAACGGATCCATGTTCATACTCGCTGAAGCAACAACCGTGTCACCAAGGGTGTAAAACGCAGCGAACTTGAAATTGTCCGGATCTCCGGCTAAAATCACGTCGTCCCATCCGTTCATTGTATTTCCGCAGTACCGTAACTGCTGGCCCAAGGCAGACCAGAAAATGGGAATGAACGCTTTCGGGGGCACTTCCTTTGGTGGAGAGGCTAAAGCGTGGGCAAGAGTGAAACCCACGCTTCGGCCAGCATTCTGTGCAACATCCCAATGTTCAATCCGAACATGGGTTCGATCACCTTGGCCGGCTCCGGGTCCGTGGTAGGGATATGTAGCGATGTCGCCAATGGCATACACGTCTTTAAGGCCATTCACAGCGAATGACTCGTCAGTTTTGAGAGAGCCATCTTGTTCCAAGGTAACTGCTTCGTTGGATTTCAGGAATTCCGTTGCCGGCGATACTCCCACTCCGAGGATAACGAGATCGGCTGGGAGAACCGTCCCATCCTTCAGATGAACCGCGCCAACCTTTGATGGGTCCTTTTCGGAGGGAGAGGCCTTTTCCACGGAAGCGGACATGTGGAAGTTGACACCTTGTTTCTCCAAAAGCCTCTGGAATATCTGACCAACCTTTGCGCCCATGACACGCTCCAATGGGGCCGATTCCATGCCAATGATCGTGACTTTATTTTCCTTTGATAGGGCATTGCCAACCTCCATACCAATGAAAGAGCTACCAATTATGACAATATTCTTGTTCTTGTCGCCGACTGCATTGAGAATCTCCTGAACATCCGTCACAAAGCGTAGAACGAAGACATTTCCAAGATCCTTAATTCCAGGCATAGGTAGTCTTCTGGGGACTCCACCAGTAGCAAGGATGAGTTTCGTATACGGGAATGATTTTCCAGAGTCAGTGGAAACAGTCCTCTTATCAAAGTCGACAGCCTTAGCATTATCTGAAACAAGGTCAATGCCTACGGACGCATACCATTGGGCAGGGCGAAGAAGTAGTTTACTCGCGTCCGGAATAAGTGCCTTGGAGAGCTTGGTCCTATCGAGCGGAGGGTTTGGTTCTCGGGAAATGATGGTGATTTTCCCCTTGAATCCTTGTTCCCTAAGGGCCTCGACAGCTCCAAATGTACCGCTGCCACTGCGCAATAATGATGTGGTCAACATTCTAATGCAGTAACAATTGTGAAGGATAAACTGCTTCTTACCCTCCAATAATAACGATCCTGTCATCTCCGACGATGGAGCATTGACTAATCGGCTGGCGTCCATTGCGCTTCAAGGCTTCAGCACCCGCTCTAACATAGACAGCAGAGTCCTTTTCAAAAAACTCGAATTTTTCCAGTGCATTCGGTGCTGGCGCGTCTTCGATATCTCCGGTCATGACATTAAAACAAGCTACAAGGAAAAGAAACAAGCATTATTAGCATACATATCACTCTAGGCATTGGGGTTTGACCAACGTACCTCCGTGCCAAGGACATGTTATTCTTCCATCCGGAGTCAGCACACCTTTCACCAGTGGGGCGCCATAGTGGGTGCATCTCGCTGTCAGGGCATGGACTTGGCCGTCTAGCTTTACAAAGAGCAGCTTTGCTTCCTCCAGTCCTTCAATGCTGACTTCTCTCTTCTCCCCATCTTTAAGGTCCGCTAAAGAGGCGAGATCTTTGAGTTTATAATCAGAAGTCATGGCTGCCAGTGAACCGATCGAGTTACTGAATGGCCTGTTCGGTGTGAAAATCCTAGTACTAATCTTGGGACCTGCAAAGTGTGGCCGTATGGGCAAAGAATTGAAATTAGACAACAAACCCCATATAGATATGGGCCTTGAACGCAGATGGCTTGAGAAAGATGAAAAAGAACGCTTCGACCAGCAATGAAGTATAAAACGAGCAGTGAGGCGGGATGCGGGGTGTTGAGGGGGAGAGACCATGCTATCCTTGATTAATTGTTGCAGTGGTATTAACTCATAACATCTAGTTACTCCGTAAAGAATTAGTTACCACAGTTGAAGGACATGGACCGGTTCAATCAACAGCAAAGACGGTCCATGAGCCCATCGGCAATCCCGCACACTGGAATCTCAACAAAGAAATTTCGCCCACACAACGAGGCCGCTCATCGTCTGCAGATCCCGCTGCACCGCCGCGAGATGGCTGCGAAGCGCTTTAAGGCGTGCACTCAAAACAGTTGGCGTCATACTTGCGGGGCCAGCCAGCCAATCAGCATCTGCAATTCGTCAGCGGGGAACTTGCGACGTGATTGGCTGGTCGCCTCTGACGCCAATTTCCTCTTCGCGCGTTGCTAAAGTTGTAATGCATGGAATCAGCAGCAGCGGCGTGGTTTGGGAATTAACATGCCCTTCATCCAGTGGGGGTGCAGACAGAAGTATCAGCGCTTAATAGTACAAATCCTAATCCGGTAAGTGATCCGAGCCAAAATATCACGGCGCCGGAAGAAACGCGGCCTATATCGCGCTCCTCCTCGTCTTCACCCTTCGCTCCAGCGAACCGTTCCTCTTCATCGACGAGTTTGCCCTCCTTGGTCGACGTCTTCGGTACTGGACAGAGCTGGGTAGCCCTTGCGACTTTGCAAAATCCCCATCGCTGTTTCCAGGCGATACAGGATCACTGGACAGCGTCAGGTCGACGAGCTGGGAGCCCTCGGGGATTTGCAATTGACATTTGGGGGCCTGCGAACTCATGGGTTCCTCCTTAACAATCTGGGAGGATCTTGACCTCTCCTTGGAACTTGATTGCTCGGAAATATCCGGTTGGTAGTCCCCGTCCCTATCATCATCCCCGTAAACGAACAATGGTTCAGGAGATCGTTGGCGCGGAGATGAAAGGACCGGGCGCCGAACTCGAGCAGATCTCTTGGGTTCGGACGGCTCAGTGATCCGAGGAGGCGCGGTGGATGAAATCATAGCATCTAGCGCTGTTCCATCGCTGGTTTCCCCGAACAGAACACGATCCACTTCATAGAATGGATTTGTCACCATTGAGCTAGCAGATGAGCCGGGTCGGTCATTTTTCGTGTCGTCCTGGACGCTAGAGGGTACAATGGACAAAAGTGATCCCGGTTGGCTAGTTCCTGACGGCTTTTCCTCGTCTTGAGAATCAGGAGCATCGCTGTGGACTGGGGATTTCGACCTGATATTTTGACTCTCGCCAATAATATGCCCGCCTGGCCCTGTGTCATCGAGATCGGTTATATAGCGCAGACCATCCTCAGAAGGTATAGATAATGCTGAAACAACCGGATCGACTTCCTGGGCAGCGTTTTTCATAGAGCTTGTTTGCACCAAAGGAGATTCGCTGATGGCCGTATTATTCCCAGTTCCAGTAGAACCGGTGATAGGACGCAGGGCCGCCCCCGGGTCAGGCCGCTCGCTTGTTTCGCGGACCGGAGTCTTTTCAAACCCGGTGAAAGTTGGAGACTCTATCGCATAGTCCTCATCCCCTTGTAATTTCGAAACGCCCTTGTCCTCCTCTTCCACGGCTTTGGTTGAATCGGCATGGGGGAGGAGTTTATGAGGAAAGGTTAAATCAGAATCAATGCCCGACCTAAATCCAGCATCGTCTATTAACTGTGAAATGTCTCGTCGGGTCTGGGAGGAAACCTGAACTATTTCCATCTCTTCGGGTTCCTGTAGAACAGACACGGGTATGCGGTCGGGACTAACTCATACGAAAGAATGAGCCACAAAATTTTCCGCAAACTTCAAAAGGAAACAATAGCAAGGAAATATTATACGGACAGGACATTCGCTTGGGTATCTTCGACAATTACCTCTCCCAAATTTTCAGCTTCACCGTCTTCAGCCGGTGCATGTTGTAACAGCTTTGCCTCCATCAACTGGCACACTTCCATATCTCTTAACCCGTCGTCTTCGCCTTGATCCTCATCATAACCCGGCATTTCAAATCCTGAATATTCGCGTGGGCCTGTATCCTGATTCTGTGGTCGTTCTTCTCTGTCACGCTTAGCGAGACGAAGTCGGACACAAGCGTCATCCAGAATCCTCTCTACGACCGCTGTGCGATAGTCTGAGACTACGGGCTGCCAGTTGGTCGCTTTCGAAACCTCCAGTTGTTTAAATGCTATAATAGCACCAGGTTTAAAATCGGTTTCAGTGGCATTCGGGAGGGACGATACATTCCCGAACAATGGGAGATCCTCCTCTGCCTCTGTAGGGCTTGCTTCCACAAGGTCTTCCTCAACCAGTCCCGACCGCTCTTGGACGTTGTATTTCTCAGTAGTTTCAACAACGGCCGGGGAAACTCCCTGCACATTATCTTCCTTGTCAGAACAATTTAGCGTAATCTCGGTATTCAAATAGCTTTCGGGACCGTCGTATTGATTGCCTTCCTCTTCATAAACTAAAGATTTCCTTTTCCGCTTTTTATTCTGACCATTTCCACGATTCCGCCGCTCGCGGATTTGCTTTTGGCTTTCAGCGTCCCATCTTTGAACAAATGGAAATGGTGGCGGAGGCACTTTCACATCTTCATATATACATTCGGTAGCTTTCAGAATGATGAAATCTTGCCAGTTCTCCACTGGCATAAGAGCTTGACTATTTCTCGTTGATTCTGTCGGTTCTTTGATTTGCTCTTCTTTGGCTGTAGGTCCAGGTTTCTTCAATGTTTCCGCAAGCTGGGCTTTTAGACGCTCCGCGTCGCTCTTAGTCTTCGGGGTACGTAGGCCGAGGGAGCCAAAAAGAAGACGCCTCGTGCTGGCTAAATCTAACTTCGCCTTTTTGTTAGGCAGTCGATCTTCCGAAACAGGCGTTGCTGTCGCGTCAACCGAAGAACTAGGCTGTACAGCCTTAGGATCCCGTTGCGCAGAGTTTGGAGACACGTCTACGCCTCCCGCTTCAATATCCCGTAACAGTTGCGCTCGCCGTTTCTCGAACTCGGCTTTGGTAGGAGACATCACTTTGTCAGTTTCCGCTGTACATTCTAGAGGTTTCGGCACACTTCTCCTTACGCCGGCCTGATCCCAAGCACGCAAGTCATCAAAATTCGCATCCTGAGGAAGAATCCCAGCAGCCTTCATCTTTGCAAGTCTTTTTCGTAGTTTGGTCCGCAAATTACTATGTTTCGTTCTGCGAGAACCCATGCCGGGCGGATTCATATTTGGCCGTGCAATAATCTCCGAGGTGAGAGCTTCAGGTTTCGCGGGTGGTTTCTGCACTTCAATCACAGAGACATCCGACTCAGAGACGGAAGAGGTATCATCACTACTAATGGAAGATGACACGGAAGACGATGCACTCGTACTAGAAACGCTAGACGACAAATCCGAACTGGAATCATCCACTTCTTCACTCGACTCTTCGGAGGAAGAACTCATGCCACTCTCGCTTTCCGAGGAGTCTGAGCTCGATGATGAGAGGATGGACTTCTCTTCCTTCACCACAGTCCATATCCTGTTACCAGCCTGTTTGCTGCTATCTTTTGTGTCTCCACCTGACACCATAGCATCATGATCAAATTTATCAACAGCATTTATGACCACAGCGCTATCCGAGATTAGTGGCGGCCGTTCAATTCCTTGTGTGTCGGTTTTATCTCCCGTTTCCGATAGTTCCTGTGATCGTTGGCCATTGGCATCCGCACGTGGCCCGACTTCAGCAGGAGCTGGGCTAAGGCTCCTGTGAACACACCATCCTTCTTCAAGCCTGGGAGGTGAAGGTGAAAACCCTAAGCATCTTGTGACGGAGCGATCGCTAACCCATTCTGCCTCGTTTATGCGTCTCCTTTTATTCCTTGGAGGAATCTTGATAGGAGGGCGAGAAGGTGCACCTCTTTTCAGAGGTCTTTTCCCAAATGCAACTCCGTCGATAAGATGGGTACCATCTGTCGCGATTTGATGACGTCCTCCTATCTGTCGTACCTCTAATTCTTCATAATGTAACGGACGAATTCTAAACCCCCACGTTGTCAGTTATTAAAAGGATCTTCGAGATAGCCTCGCCTATACCGGCCTTGAGATTGACTCACACAAGCTCATCACCATCCCTCAGTAGATTATCAACTTCCATAAAATGCAAGCACTCAGATCCCATCAACTCGACAACATAGTCTTCCAAGCCCCATTGTCCTTCATCTTTCCTATACCCCGACCGACTAGGCTGAGTTTCGAGAGGGACAACCTCATTAATATCTGCTAGCAGCTGGGAAATTGTATACCCTCCAGCCGTAGAAAGCGACGTCAAGGCCGTATTGAAGCTTGTGCTCCCGCTAAGTCGTCTCCCGGCATTGAGCGCCTGAGACCCAGCCGCCGTGAAAGAGGATGCAGCAGAAGGTTGATTTGATAAACCCGGAGAGCGGAAAGGAGTCGACCAGAGGACCCGGGTGGCAGGGAAATCGTGCCTGTGGATAACTAGGTGAAGACGCATAGTGTTGCTGGGATCGCCTGCAGTTATAGCTCTGCGAGTCGTGCGATTCTATCCGGGGTCATTGTTGAGAATGGGCTTCGAAATCCACTCGAGCGCTGACGTGAGTTTGCAACCTCTTGACCAGGAAGGTGAACCGCTTGGGGTTTATACCTTGATGCCTGAAAAGGTCCTCAGCATGCAACGCAAATTCACAACAGAGAGAAAAGGAGAGTGGGATGGTCGTAAAAGCGCGTATCGCGTCGGTTCTTCCCGCAAAAGCTTAAAATTGCTCTCTTGCCCTCAAGCACATGTTTATGTAAGCAAACTCTAAGCAACGGCTCTTCGAGGCATATTCCGGAATACAGAGAGTACTCCGTACATAGACTCCAGAATTGGTTTGCCTATGATTGTATCATCAAATTCGAGACTAATTGACTAACTAGCGGTCTTTTTAATCGCATTACATCTCACATATCATTATTCATAGGAAGAGTCATGGTGCAAGATATGTTAGCAATGCTAACATTACTATGGAATTAATAATTCCCCTGCTCTCAACCTAGAGAAAGGCAAATTTCTTCAGCCATGCATAGTACATAATCATGTCACATTTGTAAAATACGCCTCCGCACACCATCATTAGAATATGTGTATATGAACAAGAACCACAATGCAAGTTAAAAAGGTATCTTTATGTGTAATAACTAAGTGATTTGGAACACCCTTCTTAATGCTGGTATAACAATGAACTCTGATGATATCCCCGTATTCGATGTCCAATCCAATGCAGAAGTTCATCTGCGCGACTGCCCTAGATCGGGGAGCGAGTGTCCGGATCCTGGAACGGGTTTTCGGCTCGGTATTCCAAGTTGGGGAGGCGGTCTCCGTTGGGACGATTCTGGGCGGGATTCCATAGAGGCTGGTGAGAGGGTAACCGGCGACGATTGAGCGTCAGGGAGGACGGATATTGGTGCAGGACGAGAAGAACTCGGTTCCTCCGCGAGGTTTGAAGGTGCTGTCCTCGAGCGGTCCGAAGGTGAGAAACCATCGGCAGGGCCAAGCTGATGGTAAATATCGAAGGAGTCTGTCGATGAGTTTAAGGGTCCGCTATTGGGAAATAAACGGTCGCTGCCTTTGGAATTGCCCACTGAACCTTGAGCATCAGTCCCCATCCGTGAGAAGTTTCCAGAAAGAGAGGCATCAAGTGGGTTATACTCGCGCCTCGGGCCGTCCACTGGCCCAAGAGCCTCCGCCATTGCATCTTCGTAGCTAGGCGGAGCGTCCTCATATTCCTCCATAGGGGGCGGCGGTGCAGTGTATGGGGGTGCCGATGGTCGAGGTGGTGGCGGGGGAGGCAGAACTTCTGGTAAAGTTTCGGTGGTACCAGTGGGAAACCCCATGGCCTCTAGTAGCGCTGCTGGAGGAGCTACGCCCGAATAGACATAAACGGAAATACGGAGCGGGAGGACGATAAGATCCGGCTAGATTCAGACTTAGCCCAAAGGCTCATTGTTCCCGTGTTGCGAGGAGGTTCTTCAAAAGCAAGGGAGCGGATACATATCCAAAGGGTAATCCATACCTTCATTGCCGTATGAGCCTCACGAGAAATGCCCACACGCACTTCCAGCTCATACGTTCTCGAGATATTGCAGGTATCAAAAGACGGGGCCACGGAGTTTGGCAATGGAATTTGATTCCACATCCTTGGATCTACCTTCCATTCTTTCCCAACAGGGTCATCAGAACTACCGAGTGGTATATTCATATTACTGCGGCTAACGATGACCCAGCTACTGCTCTCCTTGCGAACAAGGTCATGGGCCCGAATGTTGGTATATCCTATTAGCTCAAGCTGGAATAATTGCAAGTAAAGAGTTTCGGAAAATTCAGTCAGCTTTTTAATGAGTATTCTTAGCGGCAAAGGTTCGTTGCAAGTAATTATGGCTGGACTGGGTAATCTCGCATCGACAGAGATTTTGGGAGCAGGGCTAGTGTCATCTATTGCGCCAACGCTGCCCTTTCTAAAAAGTCCTTTCGTTTCTTGTACGAGGCGAGCATTCTTGAACTGATGTTGACGTCGAGCAAAAGTCTCCTTGTCCGGCTCCTTCTTTCTTGGAGGCTCAATAGGCAGAAACTTGAAATCCGCGAACTATATAGCCCGCCGAACACAGGTTAGTCAATCCACAGCAGAGAAACACATTCACGGTTCCTGTGGGCGGAGAAAGGCTGGGGCCGAGCATCAATGCACTCTTCAGACAAACCATCCTGGACCAGACATACCCCTCTATAATTCTCCTTATAGAACTGCGGCCTCACTACGGTAACTTTCACATAATACCTGATCTCTGCTTCACCCGGAAAGCCGCTTAGAGACGGAGGTAGTGTCTTCTTAACGTGGCGGTTGCCATCTCGGGCAACTTCTAGCCGTATTCCCGCCATGTTGAGATTCGACGACAAGTTGTTATTAATACAATCATTGTTGAATGGGAACTGCAGCATCACGAGTAAGCATCCAGTTAAAATTGGCATAGGATCTTCCAGTTCTCACTTTAAAGCGAAAGGGATATTCATATATCCCGGGACTGAGTGTATAGTATGTACTTGGAGTGGCGAGTGGGTGCAGCTCAGCAGTGGGAAAGAGGGTTGCGACTTTGTATAGAAGCTAGGAATGACGAAATCAGCATCTTTGTTCGATTAAGTCCTCGAGCCCTCGTGTCCCAACCATGATTGATAATATCCATACCTTATGTGACTCTACCTCCGTCCTCTTTTTATCAGACCGCTCACTGTGCGGATACTTCGGGGCAATAAGTCGTGTACGGCTCTCGCCTTCTAGCTTTACGGCAATCAAAGTTATCGGAGTATCCGATGTTAATGTGAGTACCGCCTTCCCCGTGATGAAATCAAGATTGGTGAAGTGTGCGTGGGGTTTATCGAGAAAGATTTGGACCGACATGGTGAAGGGTGTTTCAGTTGGCGACGGCCCAGTGCAGCAGCCGTCGAAGAGCTATTGCATGGTCCGGACGGTCAAAACGTCTTGCTGTAATTGGAACCTGAAGAGGTTTATAGTAGAGTTTATACTTCAGTTTCTCCGGTCATCAAGCGTCAGGATAAGTCCTCCGATTTGATATCCAAATGGGCCAGAAAGAGGGTCAAGGAAGTTGATAAGGTTCTGGGATCAAAAACAAGCAATGACGTTTGCTCGGCACTCCCCAACTCTTGTTGGGAAACGTTAACAAGAATGCGGGAGTCAGTTATCTTTGGCTTGTCTAATAGGTTTTAAAAAATGTTAGAGCTCTCGTCTTCGAATTCCACAACAACACAAGATCTTAGACCGGATCCCAGGAGTAGCTACTGGAGCATGTACCCATCCATGTACCCCGCTGAGATACAGGGGCGGCACAGTTGACCCTGGCCTCCTATTCCGCAGATTTACGGAAGACCGGCTCGCTTGCCCAGCTAGGCTGAAAGATTCTGCAGATGGTTCTCGATCGCTGCATGAACCGCATGCCGAAGGATTTTGTCTGGTTGTGAGTCGCTGCCATCGCGAGCAGCCCTAACCAGGGACCCTCGCGCACAGATGTGGCAGGCTGCTCGTCGGAGGTCCCTTCTGCGCCACAGGAGGGTCCCCCGGGCGACATAGCCACTTCCACGCGGCCTCTCCTTCAGCCGCGATCTGGTCGTCCGGCGCTCATTTGACAACAAACTCTACATCAAATAGTAATATGCAGGAAATGCGAGACGTCAGGGCTCGAAGGTATGTTTCACAACACTCTCCGCCAATGCAACTGTCAAAGTTGTCAACGCATCCGAATACGGTTTTACGGTTTGAGCATGCGGTTACAGTACATGAGTGTGATCCAATGGAATGAAGAGCACGAGCTCAACATTTCATGGTGGTCTTGCTCGAATATTGACTGGTCACTTCGGCTATGTTTGGGCAGCATTTTGTAGATAGATAGGCGCCTTGATCCTTGTCTTCCTCAAGACCACTCCATCTCGGCGACTATGACACGACGGCCAAACTGACTCCCTTCCGTGAAAGTCCCATGATCCACCTCAATGCTCCCTTCCGTAGAAATTCTAAATTTTAGAACCTGTACGGAGTAAACTGAAATGCGTTTGCTGTAACTGAACCCTCTACCAAAATCGCAGGCCATGGAGCGTCGTGGAACAAGAAATACCCGCAGCAAGCTGCCCTGGTGCAGTAGCTTCAACAACCCTCCCATAAAGGCTAGTGGTATCTAATGATCGGACAACTGGCAAAGATAAGACTAAAACACCGAGAAAACATCTATCTGAACCCGATCTTAGGCGTTTGCTGCAAGTTTCTCTGGGACCTCCGGCTTCACATCCAGAACTGCATGGATCAGGTCGTCAACAACACGCTCTCCTTTTGCTTTGCCCGCTTCCTGAATGTCTTTAAGCTTGACGTCTGCGTCTTTGTTGGCCTCTTCCTCAGCCTTCTTATTACCACTCGAATGCTAGCAAACAATGTAAATATCGGATGCATCGAGAATTTTCAAATGGGACGGATCTGTGTTGAACTGGGCATAGAGGCCCCATAAGTCTTACCTCAGCTTCGAACCGTTTGAATTCCTGTTCTTTCTGTCTTCTGTACTCTTCGATCTCCTTCTGTGCTTCGGCTTTCGCGTCCTTTATGCGTTTTGTGCGATCTAGAAGTATAATTAGAAGGGCACCTTCAGGCTCCATCCACAACTACTAACATTCTCGGGCTATGAATGGCCATTAGTGGACGCCTCCGCATAGTTCCCTAGGATGATAAGTTGCATAAGCTCACCGCTTTGTACGATTTTTTGTGCTTCCCTCTCCGCCTGGTCAAATTGCAATATTAGCTGCTATCCGTGACGGCGGGGTTGAACCTGGGGTTCCGCAGAGCTCTCGACACGTACGTCCAGGAGGGTCTGAATACCAGCTGAGTTTTGGGCAGACTAATGGGAAAATCACATCAGTTTCAATCATTCCATCATCGGCCAAGGACAAGTCAAATCTTACCATCTTTGTTAGTCTAGCGTCTATGAGAGATCTATTTGAAGCTGCAGTTGAAATCGCTTCGCTACCTTCAACACCTAGGGTTGATCACCCGCCGACACCGTCATCACGGCCCGAATCTGCCAGGTCACACCGCCTTGGCCGGAGCGCCAAGCCTCAAACATCGCAACGGGGTTTCAAGCAGCAAATCTCTCATGGACGAAACGTCCCAGTCCAGCTTTTCGTCTCCAGGATCCAGAGATTCCCGATTTACGAATTAATTTTGGACTGGTTTGAAGTTTGCATGTCTGTTTTCTCAAAAGCAAGGTCACAATGTCGCGGGCTTCGAAAATTACATTCGCATGCACCTCGCTCGCGACCGCAGGCATAGTCTATTTTGTTCACTGGTCCCAGGAGGCAGATAAAGCTGTATGTGCTACCTTTGCTTACGCTAACATTAGCAATTAAAGCGGAATTGCTGACCAACTTGGGCTTTTCTAAGGCGATGCATGCTGGCGTGCTGAGAGATCTCGAAAACCAGAAGGTTAAGCGCGAACGACAGTTGGATTTTGAGATGCAGAGGCGATTGGAGGAGGAGTATCGGAAGATTCAAACAGTATCGGACGGGAGTGTCCCGGCCGCTAGTGGCAGCACAGGAGTGAGCCCAGGAACTTAGCCTGTGAGCTTCCAGCGCAACCAATCGCAAAAAATCTGCAGGGTGGAAAAATCAACTACCCCTCTTCAAGGGACGCCAGCCTGAGTTACTTTCTCGATTCAGTGCACCGCTCCTCTACCACTAGGGGTTCCATCCGGCCCCAAGGACTCTGAGAAATCGACCGCGGGAAACTATGTTTATTCCGAAACTTCTCCGAAAAGACACTCTTCACTCACGGATATTCCACACGCTCGCTGCGTGCCATATATTTCCATATATGAATTGAAGCTTGGATATTTACCCGGCATCGAAGGATCCCGGGTTAAGCGCACTAATGGGTTGTGGTGCACTTAACATAATGTACAATATTTCAGCCCTCATAGATACCCAAAATGATAGACACTGAAGCTAGAAACAGCCCTAACAGAGCGTTGAATGTCTCTCGTTGCCATCACGTTCGAGGAGAATGGATAGGATGTTATTGCCAGCTAGTCATTCAACAGGCATGGTAGTATGTGATTCATTAAAAAGTACTACGGAGTACGCACTTCACCTAATTATATGCATTGCATTCCAGTAGCTCAGGGCGCCTGGCCCATTCACATCTCACACACTAATATTTCATCTATCTTGAAGAACAGTGAGAGCATTGAACTAATAGGGGCCGCGTACCTAAATATGAGTTCTGCTCACTGTACAGATCTAGACTTTGTGGCATCCTACCATAAATATTATTGGCTTCATATGTGGCCCCCTGGTAAGCGCTGTGATCCATTTACTCCTCATCCTGTAATCCGGCCTTGTCATGGCTATTCCCTGTCCCGGACTGAAAATGCTTGATGCGGGGGATTGGATAAATGAAACCAGGCTGCAGAACCTCATCCAACGCGGGACGACATTAACTAGTCCCACCTCTCTTTTGGGAGGTTGCCAGCCAATCTCATCACACTCAACTCTTGGAGCATCGTTACCTACACTCCTGGCTGTGGGATTCCAAGAGATAGAAGCCAGAATACCTGACCTAAGCCGGTCATCCAAGCACGTCAAGGAGCACTGAGCATCTCGTGACCGTTCAAACCGAGCAGACTTCGGATCCCTATGAAGCTTTCCAGCCTCCTGCACCTCGCACCCGATCGATCTTACGATGGATCAGTCCAAAATCAAGTGCTGCTGTGGCAGACCCGATTGCGCATACCTCCAGCACAATAATGCTGCTCTCCAGAATTTAGAAAAGGACGTCGACACAGCGGCTCGACTTGGCCAAGTACGTCTGCCCAATCAAACATTTTTTACCAATCGACCTGACAAGTCACAACGACTCTAATTGACGGTGTTTCCTTTTACAACCTATAGGCCCTCCTTGGACGTCATGAATCGTACATGGCCGAAGCGGAAGCCGATCGTGCGAGAATGGCTGCCACTATCGATAATTTAGAGAAACAAAAGCGAGAGGTGCAGGCGGAAAATGCAAAAATCATACAGGAGAATAAAGACCTTTTAGAGGACTTGGAGGGGCTGAATAACGTAATATCTGAGTCGGATGCGCATATCAAAGTCTTGAGTACCTCCTTAGAAACTGCCCAGCTCGAGGTCCGACGATTGACAGCGGCCGCGTCTCGAGCTGCTCTCCTCGAAGCGCAGCTGAATGAGATGGAAAATGATCAGGCACGGTTGGAACAATCTCTCGCCATCACCCAGGAGAATGAACGGTCAGCTATTCAACGCTGGCGAAAAGCAGAGATTACGCTTAGAGATCTGCATGAACAGGTAGATCGAATTGAAAAGGAATCAAGAGAGGAGCGAGAAAGACATGTGGAGCTATTAGGTCGAATGGAGCGAAAGAGATCAGTGGAAAGAGAATTACATGCTGCTGCAGGGAGACTCAAGGGCGCTGCTGCAGCGGCCTCTTTGGGGCGGAACAAGAACGGAACGAATGTTGTCTCTCACTTTGTTAAGGATATCCTTCAAGACAATGCGAATCTCCAGTTGAACATTGTGGAGCTGAAGGAACTGCTCCAGAGTTCAGATGAGGAGGTTCGAAATTTGAGGGAGCAGCTTCTCGTCCATCAGCCACTGGTTGGGGATCCAGATGGTCCAAATTTCCACAGTGGCAGTTTGTTCCTGAGCGAAGAGCTGCAGAATGTTCAGTCTGCTCCTCAAGAATTTCACATTCACCACCATTACCATACCGCTGTCCCAGTTTCAGCTTCACGCAAAGATCGATCCCAGCCGGCAGCACATCGTCGACAACGAAGAAGGAAAGCTCTCTTCCCGCCTACGCTCCTCGAGTCTCCAACGAAAGAATCCAGCGAGAGTCCTCTGAGCGTCCACGATACTATTGACACCGCTTCCCCAGCTTCTACATTTCAAACATCACCATCCTCCCGCACCAATCGCTGGGTAGACCAAACACCTGGTCCAACGTTTCCTTCTGCCCCGAGTTCCCCCGCATCTGCATATAAAGCGGCGTCTATTTTTGATCGTTCCGACCTGGGATTCGATTCATCTCGCCCGACTAGCCCTGAAAGTGGGTTTACTTCTCCTCTCGTGAGAGCATCGCATCGGAAAGGGCCATCCGACACTTCAATCCGATCTGTTCTTGAAGACGGATGGCTAGACAATGTACCGTCGACACCCGCGATCGTGAAACATTCACAAAATCCAAGGTCATTGAGTAAAGTTAATATCTTTGCTGAGGCTGATGGCACTGCTGGCGGAAGCAACGCCTGCTCGCTCTCTGGACTTCCAATCCCGGAAGAACACGACGACAATGAAGCCTCAACCTCATATCATCATTCTGGCGACCAGATTGTTGTGCCGCTGCGATCTCCCCAGTTGCGTCGATCCACGTCTCACGAGAGCCTTTTGTCAATTTCAGGGATGGATATTCACCTGACAAGTAACTACTCAGCCAGCTCCACCCCGACATTTGTACCAAGGACTCCCAGACGTATCGCATCAGCCGGAACAATATTCTCATCAACTACCCCTGTCATCTCTCGGACGAACGTAACCATTCCTAGAGTTTCAATCAGCAAAGATAAATCTCCCCTTTCTCTCTTGTCGTCCGTCGCTTCTGCAGCAAATCCCACCACGAGCGCCACTCCGGTTGCGCAAGAGATTCTTTCTGAGTCGAGCACTCCACAGGATTCCCAATCCAAAAGCATTAAACGTCGCATGGGAGGCTGGGTTTTGGGAAAATGGACCTCAACGCCGCCAAAGTACATAAAGCCGAAATCAACGACCACTCCAGAGACCTCTAGTTCTACCTCGCATTCGTCTCTCCCTTCTACAACGGACGAAGACGTTGCGAAATCATTACCACCAGTATTATTCAGGCCACCAGGTGTAAATCAGAGCGGACCTATTTTTGGCTTGCGTCCTCCTGACAAGGCGCCAACTTCAGTACACCCAGAACACCTCGATGAGACCTTATTACATGAAGCTTTGGCAGAGTAGCCATGTTTTCCGCATTCCCTTTTGCAATATGTATTACGAACGCTCTTTTGTGACTTTCCTTGTTGTCTTACATCTACTATCTACTTTCATTATATGCCCCCTTTGATTGTTTCGGGCTTCTCTTCGAATACATTATGCATAGACCATATTAGGTCTAGGATTGGCCAGCATCTCCATCATTGCACCTGCTTTTGTACACATCTCGGCGTTTGTGTTTGAGGCTGCTGCATTGTTACTCCTGAGCCGTCGTCCTGTTTGCTCCATTGGTTAAAATGAGTTGAGCGTATTGATACCCACTTGCATACATTCCTGGCAGCCTTGTTTCTGTAGGCTGTCCCCTTCTCTCTCTTGGTGTTTCCTATTCAGTGTCTTTATCAGTTTCTATTTGCTTATTTAAACTGTATATATGCCTCAAAAATTACACATAATTAAGAATCAGATACATATGTTGGCTTCCCAAGAGTAAGCATAGGCAGAAAATCCCAGATTAAGCTAGGGGTGAACTATGCGCCGCCCCATCTCTGCTATTGCAGGGCGTCCGCCAAGTTAGACTATTATCAACTTCTACAATGAACTCACGAGTATCTACATGCGTCCATTATCACCGTTTCCTAACTCTCTGACCAACCACATGTAAGGATAGCAACAGACCATCGGATACCCGCGTCAGGAGTAATGAAGTGTACAAATGCCAACCAGGGGTATGACCACAGGCAGTGAAGCTACCTAGCACCGCATTCCATGCGGAGTTATTATAACAACTGCCTATATGCACTAGTAGTTACGTACCACCAGCAAAATGTTAGGGGAGGATATGTATCAACTGCGTAGCAGGACTATTGGCTAGTACAATTATACACTAGGACTCTGTAAGTCATGGATATATGGCATAGAACAAGGAGATCATGGTATGGCTCAGGAATTAAACGTCACTGGAATATGTGTGGTAGTTTTTGTGTAAGACTGGTGTGGAGCTAACGCCGGGTAATGCACGTAGACAACCCAACAGGGAGGAAGGAAATGCTGCCAGGTTGTCAACCACAAGCAGCAAACTGCTACAAACAGAAGAACAAGCTCAGTCTCCACTGGAATGCCAGGCTCCCCTTGCTAAGTCTCAGAGTTTTGAGGGCATGGTGTGGGCCTAAGGCGTTAGTCTGAAAGAACATATCAGCCACCTATCAAGTAAGTTGCTTCTTAACAAGATTGAAGATACACATATGTTATGCCCAATGTAACATGCCACCCAGAAACCAGCGTAGGTAGAAAAGTCTAGAGGTTACTAAATCGCATATTTAGAGGCAGAAGCAAGGGAGTTTGATGACGATGGTAGTGGAACTCATTAGTGGGAAGGATTACCCTAGAACAGATGCATACAGTTAGGCCCGTGGAATGCGAGTTATATAGCCAAGATAGGTAGTGTATGCCTAGGCTTCGCGAGTGGTTATCTTGTACGTCCTGATAGGCACATTGGTGCTATGGAAAAAGCCATCCTGTGATTGCAGGGGAGGAGAATTGAAGTCGATTGGTTGTGCATGGAAGTGATTTGTTTCTATTGTCATTAATGGTTAGTGACTTTTGGTGTACCACCCTGCATACATTAGAGATGATTGACAGGGATGCACACCACAGGATTTGAGGAACATTGCGAAGGTCTTCCGGTTGCGGAGCGTTGCCGATATTAAAAACACCTTGAGACCATAATTTTCAAATAGTTCACGCAATGTTGACAGAAGTACAGGTATGAGGTCAGCATCGTATATCTGCCAATCATACCATGGATCAGTACGATGCACACGCGCCTTCAAGTCATCTGAGACATGTAGATGGTTTTGGGAGGCGCATACCAAGTCAGAGCCCAGTGCAACATCGAAAGTAGTTGGATGATCTGCACCTGAATCATCCGGAAGTTCTAAGGGTCTACCCCACTCCCAAATACGGCTATGGAATTTCGAACAGTCAAGGTTGTTTCGTACCACGCAATCCTCAATGTTAGAAATCAATGCCGGCTCCCGATCCGTAGCCACGACTCTCTTAGCACCTAGGTATTTTAGGCAGTACATTGAAACCAGCCCGGTGCCGGCGCCCAGTTCCACGATGTTTTTCCCTGAGACCACAGCCCTGCCCGCCGGGGTAGAAAGATATGTCCCTTGGTGCAAAGCTGCTTCCCACGTGCGGAATCCTGTAGTACCTGAGGACAGGATGAGCCCACGATTCTCAGACGTTACGATAGCCTGGGATTCTCCGCGGCCCAATGTTCCTGGCGGTGAATACTTGATGTAAGACAGATCCTGAGCTTCCTCTAGCGGTGGCCGTTTTGGGCGAGCAACCAGATCACCCCAACAAGCCATGAGATCGTCAGAGATCTCCTGTCGAAGAAAATAACAGTCAGGATATATCATTAATGCGAAAACGGAAAAGGAAAGAGAGGAACATCAGCTTGATCATGTGTGAGAACATGATGCTGGAACAGAACGTTTTCACAGTGGAATTTATTCATACATCCTCCTCAGGGTCCATAATTGAGTCTTCAATCCTGGACAACAGAGCTTTAAGAACACGCATACGGTAGCTTGCTGGTGGAATTGGCCAGATTACATCTTCGTTGAACATATTTTGGTAAACCCATTTCTGGGCCGCAGGTTTGATGAGGACCGGGTTGGACGGGAAAATTAGACTTTGCGCGTCAACGACTTGGAAATACTGAGCGGCAAAGATCCTGAGATCCGACTCATATTCTGGGGATAACGAATCCATCCAATGGATATCTCAGTTTCCTGACTGCAAAATTTCTCGTGTCGTTGCAGAAGAGCGAGGAGAAGAGGCATCCCACCTGTGTGCGCTGTGCTCCGGGACTGCGGGAAAGTTTGATTCTTTCCGTACTGGGACTAGCGCAGATGTGGAATTTCTTGGCCCTAGCCGAAAACCCACACCCAGCAAAATCGAAATTAGTGACTGAAGAACTTCAGAACGACAGCGACAACTAACGCCAACAGCAGCCTGCGACCCATCCCAATCGATTTATCTGCTTGCGCGAACCCATCGTCAAAGCAGATTCAGATCGATTTATCGGCACACCCGCAACCATGGCTGACGCTCCTGTTACCCTGCGGACACGCAAGTTCCTCCGCAATGCGCTCCTGAGCCGCAAGCAGATGGTCGTGTAAGTAAAATCGCTATCTATCATCAAACATGGCAGCTTGGCTGGAATCCATCTCTTTCGCTGCGACAAACCGGAATCGGCCTTTTGGAAGGAGTTTTGGGGGATAAGTCTAGATGTTCAGATGCTTACGGATTCTCTTATCCGGCAGTGATATCCTCCATCCCAACCGCGCCAACATCTCCAAGGACGAACTCCGCGGAAAGCTCGCCGAGCTCTACAAGTCCAACAAGGACCAAGTCTCTGTTTTCGGTCTTCGCACACAATATGGTGGCGGAAAGACTACCGGTTTCGCCCTCATCTACGACTCCAGTGAAGCCTTGAAGAAATTTGAACCCCGCTACCGTCTCGTCCGTATTGGTGCTGCTGATAAGGTTGAAAAGGCCTCCAGACAACAACGTACGTCTTATCTGCTTATATCTTTTTCTATGGACGGACAAGCTTAGGGTTTTGGCGATGTTTGAACGGGATGGCTGATTGATTGATTTTACGAACAGGCAAGCAACGAAAGAACAGATCGAAGAAATTCAGAGGCACAGCAAAGACCAAGGGCCCCAAGAAAGACAAGAAGAACAAATAGACGACATGAACTTCGGTGTTATAGGGTTGGCAATGGTGCTTGGTTCCTGCTTCGATGGATTGTTCAGCACCCTGAGTGATGCACCTCAGGGATACCGATGCTGTACTGTAGCTACGAATCAAGCCTTGTGGTAAACATGTTTCTGGCTTTGTTTTATTCTACGAAGCAAAATAAGTCTTTTTGAACTACGAAATTGCATTTGCTCTGTTCGCGAATTCGATCCTCATCCTTTGCTGAACCAGGTGGCAAACTTCAAAATGAGACTTGAGAGATTACCTTCCCTTGCTATCCATAAATTTTGTCCCTGAACGACTTTGGCCCCCCTTTCCCTCCCAATACAAAACGATCCACACCATATTCAGGAGCCCGAAATACCCTGGCTCAAGGGATTATAGGCGTTGAAAACAACAAGAAATAAAAGTGAATAAAACACAAGGTGCAAAAAAAGACAGCATGAATCAGACCTCCCAGGGTAAGCCACGTGCGAAGAATTAGAACACCGGCTAGGGCGCCGGCTAGGGACATATGCGGGAAGTGTATTCTGTAGATGGCCCGGAAAAAATTCCATACTTAACCCGCCGAGGTTTTGAAAAGGCAACTATAGGTTGCACAAACCAAAAAATTTGCCAAAATCAAGCCGTGCCGTTAGCAAGGGGGACATTCGCTTCCCCATTTACTTCATTGCATTGAGTAAACTTTGCTCGTAGGAAGGAATTTGTGTTCGAAGAATTCAGTCCTCAATTATTGTAAATTAATCAGTTCGAATTAGACTAGTCTGCAGAACGTGGCCCATCCTGTGTGGTAAAAAATCAAATTCCCTCAGCGTGAGTAAGGGGCGATAGAGGCGCTGGGCGCGGCATCGAATCCGGCCGGTGGATTGAAAGCGGCTCGCTGTCTGCCGGATTTCGTACGTAAACATGGCCACTTATCAAAGAACCTCTGGAGCGTCTTCCTCTGCTATAACCATACATCTCAGATGTGTACGTCTCTGGAAAGCTCTCCCGGTGACAGGCCTTTGGACGTCGGGATTCGTCGGCTGAATGGTATCTGTCCGAGAGACTTAATATTTCGGGCAAAGTGGATGAAGGCGAGATAACAGCTGGTGTTGACTGATTGCTGGATATTGGCATGTATCCGAAAGCAATATCAGAGGGACTTGAAGGTGATAGCCTGGACCTGCCGGACGATGTTGTAGAACTCGTAGCGCTCAAATCTGCGCGTGGGACATGGAAGTCGTTTACAAAGTGTTTATCGAAGGCCCAGGAAGACTTGTAATTTGATATTTGGCCTGGAGCGGCAGACGCGTTTGCCGAACTTTCCGAAACAGCTGTGACGGGTGAGAATGTGCTATTCCGGTGGCCAACAGGATTTGGTAATATTCTGTCGGATGATGTTATGCCAGCTGGTTGTGAACTTAACAGAGGGAACGTGGATACATTATCAGTTGGAGCTGGCGTATGGGGCTGTTGGAGTATAAAAGGATAGCCTGGGCCCGTTATAGAGTTGTTCATATCGGGATCCGTAAACATTCCTGGTAAAGATTTGGCTTGACAAGATTCATACCACGGTTTTGACCCGGCCGTGCTTCCAAAAGCATTACCACCCGCAACATCACCGTTAGTAAGCATATTGGATTGCTGTTGTTGCACTTGATAGGCTGTGTCATTATCATAGCCTAAAGAATAGCCGGGCACATACGGTGGACGATGGGCAAAATTTGATCCATTGTTTGCCCCGTAGTCAAAGCTGTGGTGAAATAAGGAATAAGGAGCGCAGCTTGTAGAAGTGGAATGTAGAGCAGCTGAATTTGGTCGCGAGAGTGCATGCTGGTCGTAACTACCCTGGTGCAATCCTCCAGTTGAAAGAGCTGCATTGGAGCCGAAAGCAGGGAATGGCAAAGTAACGTATGGTGCATGCAATACAGATGAATTGACCTGTCCTCACATTAGACAACGAATCATGAAAATTCCATCATATGTGGCTGACTCTTAAAAACATGCAGGTGCGTGTCCCTGAGGTTCGACAATTTGTACACCCATGGCCGTCGCCGGTATCTCCACTGCACTTGATTTTGCGCTGCCGACATCTTTGACACTACAGGAAGTCAGCCATTTCGGAAAGTCATAAAAAGATAATGGGCCATTCAAGACCGTACCGCCACCTGCGTTCGACGCCTCCCGTTGGGCTTGCCTTCAGGCTCCGTCATTGATCTGCTATGGCTCGAGTTGCCACACATGATATCTTGTCTGTTCTCCGCTCTCATTGACTGAACCATAAGGCTGTGAGTGTAGAGCTCTCGGGGGGTGGCAAATCTCTCAGTTTCAATTCTCCTCTAGTTAAAAAGTAAAGGTGTCTCTTCAACAAACATGCATGCTTCACGGCCGGTGTGTTGAGCAGTATATATCAAACCCACAATGACTGTGTAACTTTTTCTTTCTATGACAGAGCAGAGATGAGCACACACAGGCAGCCAGAATAAATTGGAGAGCTGTGTTCAACAGGAGCCCCACAGCATGGGAACAATAGTCAAGTTTGATATCCTCCAGGGTCCTTGGTGGTTGAACAAGAATGGCTCGACATATGTACCTAGGAAGCAAGGCTGGTTTAAGCCAAATAAACAACGCTGACTCCTTGTTAACTTGGCTGTACAGCTCCCATCAAATCCTTGTCCGTAATGGATACAGGACAGAATGTACAAGGAGTAACAGAATCCCCACAATTTGAAACTCCAGGTTGAACCGTTAAAGAATTGTGAATTAACGATACCCAATTCTTTATCATGTTTCACCAGGACTCCATGCGTGTCTCCGGTACACAGTCTGCAAGCTGTGGTTAACGTGAAGAAAGCATACATTAATCTGTTCAAAACCTGGAATTTAGAAGGGCACCAGGATGTATCACAGAGCAACGTCACACACACAGGTATATGCTATCCTCATGCTAGTAGGGTAAACCAAGTTCTTGAGATAAGGTGGCTCTGATTAGCCCCGTGCAAAGAAAAAGGACCGGAAAGGAGTTTTGAGTAACTCGCCAGCAAAAGGTTTTGGAGCTCAGTACTTGTTTTCACTTTGATAGAAAATGATAACAAACAAAGAGCAGCCGGTAAGCCATCTCTGGTGAGAATCGACGAAATGCGAGCAAGCAGCCGCTGCCAGAGCGTTTGCCTTGATAGAACGAAGGTATGCACTGCATCTCCTGATGCTATGTGCTACTGGAGCATCAAATGTTTGCTAGATGCTTGGCTTTCAGCTATGATTCGACCTTTAGGTGGAATGCAAGCTGCAGGTACTCGAGCAAACAATCCTAGAATTGGTTCCAGAGCGGAATATGGTCTTGCATCATCAATGCCAATCAAACCCGTGTTGATCAGCATGGTTACCCCAATCAAACATCATCCCCGGGCAAAAAAAGTGTTGTATATGCCCAAAAGATAACAAGCAAAGACTCTCGACTGTTTGTGACCCAGCTCAAGGACGATAGGGAATGGGAAGGCGAAGCAATGGCTTCAGGGCATTCCAACAAGACACACAAACAGAAGGTTGATCCTTTCATCAGTGATTCAAGCCACGTGAAGAAAAGCCCATGTATTATAATGACTTCTAGAGGTCACATACCTTAGAGCGGATTATAGATGCGCGGTCAACCCCTGGCGGTGTGGAGAAAGCTTCTAGATTGGCACGGCCTAGGTTGAACTGCACTAGAAAAATTTTTCAGAATACTTTTTTTTTCCTCTACAGTTTCACACGAAATGGCCTTTTCTTTTCTTTTCTTTTTCTTTCTTTCTTTTTTTTTTTTTTGTCGAACGGGAGAGCCGTAGAGGAAATATGTATGTTTCAGATCCCGATCAAAAGCGGAAGCGTTGAGCTACAAGCGAGGAAAGTTATTCTGGAACAGCGGGAGAAGGGTCTTCCCTGGACGGCTCGCATAAAACATCGATCAATCATATGCACCAGTCCATAATTCTTCAACAGGCTTGGCAACTAGGCTGCATTGGACAACTCTTTAATTTTGTAACGAAATTGGCGGGCTTGCACTCTCCAGACGCGTGAAGGCTTACTCTAGAAAGTACAGCTGAAATTCGAATTTAAACACGAGCATCGATGTTTTAGGCAGGATAAAAATGTAGCATACGGTCTGCTGAAGCGCAAAATAGTGTTCCCACGTGTGTTTCAGAGCAGAGACATGGTAGATGCTCACTGCGGTCTGACAGGAAACCGTAAGCTCATGCGAGTGACCGAACCGTTTTTCAACCGGTGCTCTCTGCTGTACAACATTAGCGGAGCACGCTGTACCAAAGCCATCTGCGCGGAGCAAGTGGAAGTCCAGCACTGGGCTATGTATGTACTGCACATCGCGTCTTTACGCAACTAGTTATGGTAAAGGCCCACATTCACAAAACACTGATACTCGGATGGGGCAAGATGGAAGGCCGGGTCGTCGAACTGGTTCTGTGCCATGCAGTCAAAGGGGTGTTAGAGACAAAAAGAACCACGAGCAAACAAATAACAACCAAGGTTGGACATGTAAGATCCAGGTTCATTAGTTTAGGATAGAAACAAAACAGCCATAAGCAGTGGGTTTCAGGATCCTGAAGGACTGACATGGCAGTTGACAGCATTCGACGGCGGCTAAGTGTCAGAGAGTAAAACTGAATGTTCAAGGGATAAAACGGCACTGGAAGTGAGTCTTCCTAGAGCGGTTTTAGCCCCAAATCAAAAGCAGCCACTTATTCCTCAGATGATTGCTGCAGTGGTACGGAGTATACGGCCTGTTGCTCATTGTCCAGCCGACGGAGAGTCGTTGGATGTGGTCCAAGCCCGAGCAGCCTTGCTGAAGCACCGCCGTCGACTCGCGCTGCACGCGTAATATCAGCACAAGCGGTAATAATGGAACTTAGGTACAGAGATACGTTTGGAGAAAGGTCCTCCCACGCATGGTGTTGGAAGTTGGAAACTTGTCGAATTCGTCTTGTACTACTTCGTACGGAGTACATTAATTGTTATCGATCAGGTGAATATTTGGATTCTAGCCATGTACCTTTCTGCCACACACCCATATGCTCCCTGTATGTACGGAGTACATACACCTGGGTTGCGCGAATATGATCGGTTCCTGGTGTGACAGCACTAAGTAGTACAGGTATAGGTATGTATGATACAATACTCCATATTTACCGTACATCTAGCGTCTGCGCCAACAGCTCCTCGCCGTGACAAACTGTGGAGGTCGCAAGACAAGCCAACATCTTTGCGATATGAAATAGTCAGCTCTAAAACGAACAAGGATGAGTGTGCTTTTGGAAACATCATTAGGAGACATTGTTGTTGACCTCTTTGTCGATTCGGTGCCAAAAGCGTGTGAAAAGTGAGTTCGAAGAATCCATTTTCGTTTCGGAGCTTGCTATTGGGGTGAACGGTAACTGAGAATGGTACTAAGAGCTCGAGATGTAGCTTCTTAAAGTTATGCAAAATCAAGTACTACAACTTCTCGCCAGTTCACAGTGTGCAAAAGTCCTTCTCCTTTCAGACCGGTGACCCGATCGGGCCAGATTCGGCAGAGAGTGACGGTGGCTCATCGATATGGGGCATTTTAAACGGACCGTCGCAGAAGACCTTTCCGGTCGAATTTGCGCCAAAGCTCAAGCATACTAGCCGTGGCACTGTGAGTATGGCTACAGTGCCATCGTCAACGGATCCCGATACCCGCCTGGCTGGTAGTCAGTTCATAATAACCCTCGGCGAGAATCTGGACTATCTGGACGGCAAAGCCGCTATATTTGGCAACGTGGTTGAAGGTTTCGATGTCCTGGAAAAGATTGATAGTGCTTTTGTTGATGAGAAAGGACGACCGCTTAAAGATATACGGATTAAACACACTGTGATATTGGACGATCCTTTTGACGACCCTCCAGGCTTGGTGGCGCCGTCTGAAAGCCCTGTTCCCTCCAAAGCTCAGCTAGCCACAGTAATGATAGCAGACGATGAAGAGCTCGATGATAACATAGATGAAGAGTCATTGGAGAGATTGCGGAGAGAGCGCGAAGCAAGGGCGCAGGCCTTGACTTTGGAAATGGTGGGGGATCTCCCTTTCGCTGAAGTCAAGCCGCCAGAGAACGTCCTTTTTGTATGCAAATTGAACCCAGTTACTCAAGGTGCGTACATCCTCTCGCTTTACCAACGTCTGATTCTAACCCTATCGAAAGATGAGGATTTAAACTTAATATTCAGCCGTTTTGGCCCTATTTTATCCTGTGAAGTTATCCGAGACAAACGAACCGGAGACAGTCTTCAATATGCCTTTATAGAATTTGAAAATCAAAAGGATTGCGAGCAAGCCTATTTTAAGATGCAAGGGGTTTTGATCGATGACCATCGAATACATGTGGACTTCTCCCAAAGCGTAATGCTAAGCTCTACCTGTGACTTTGCTCCTTCTGCTAACTGTCGAATAGGTGTCGAAATTATCAGATAGCTGGCGTTCAGCTACGAATGCTAAAAGAGCCGGCCAAAGAGGTGGATTTGGTGGCATATCTAGTCTTGAGAAGAAACGACACTACAGAGCAGCTGACGCTCCTCGTCAACACGACCGGTATGGAATGGTGTTTGACAAGGAAGATATCCGCACGGGAAGTGCTAGCAGGGAATCGTACCAACCCTCTTCGCGGCACCGATCACGAAGTAGAAGCCCGAGTCGACGCTATCGCCACGCATCCCCTCGACGATACGATGACAAGAGGCGATACAGGCGTAGTAGTCCAGATTCTCGGTACGACCGGAGTTACGACAATGAGCGACGACGGAGATAATAATGATATTGTGGGGTAAATAATCATGCATATTTGCTGTATTATATGTCCCGTTATGATCTTAAAAATGTATAACGAACTCCCTCCAAGCCCGTGCAGGTTTGATCTGGACCGAGGCATGATAACGTCGGAAATATAATCTTGGAATTTCTCATTGTCTTCTGTATTACCAAACGAGAGGCCCGAGCTGCTAAGGGGGTTCTTGATCGATGTCCCTGATGCGAACAGGAGCGAGAGAAGCTCACGGAGGACTACGGAGTCCTCCGTCAGCTTTTGTGGTTAGTCTTGGCCGGTTGGCGGAACGCAGCTGTGCGGGAACCAGCTACGTAGAACCTTGACGGCCAGCCTCAACACACGACCCCACCTCAGGAGTGGCTCTTGAGGCGGCGGCCTGACCCTCCTTCAGCCGCGAATTAAAAAGCATAATTGAAGCATTCCACGATTGAGCGTTAAACATATTTTCTTTGCATGAATAACATTTTGTGGTTTTTATTTCAATCAGTCCATTGCATTTCTTCAATTCCCAGGCGCTCCTTTCTTCTCAGCGCGCAAGCTCCATATCCAAGTCAGCATTTAGATCACAATATTTACCCCACCAATGGCGTCAGCAGTGAAAGACACGGTCTCCAACCTGATGGGCAAGATGGGCTTTCATTCGAAAGAGCCCTCCGCTGAAGAGCTGAACCAGCTCCGGCAGAAGTACGACGAAGCTGGACAAGGCCAAGTCTTCGCCTTCTTTGACGAATTGAGCTCCACCGAAAAGGCCCAGCTCTTCCATCAGCTCTCGACCTTCGATCCCAACCGCATCAACGTCCTTGCTACTCGCGCCACTCAGTCCCAGGAAGCTTCGACGGGGCTCGGCTCTGGAAAACTCGAACCGCTGCCAGACAATGCTACTGCGTCGATCCTCGACTCCGATCCCAAGGCTCTTCAACGCTGGTATGACGAGGGCCTGCAGTTGATAGCAGAGAATAAGGTTGCGGTCGTTCTTATGGCCGGTGGGCAAGGAACAAGGTTGGGAAGCTCTGCTCCGAAGGGATGCTATGATATCGGACTTCCGAGTGGAAAGTCTCTCTTCCAAATACAAGCTGAACGGATCGCGAAGCTGCAATCTTTAGCTAAAGCGAGCTCTGGCAAGCAGAATGTGGTGATTCCTTGGTATGTTATGACGAGTGGGCCAACACGAAACCCTACAGAGGAATTCTTCCAAAAGCATGGCTACTTTGGGCTGAAGCAAGAGAATGTATTCGTTTTTGAGCAAGGTGTTCTGCCGTGCATTTCAAACGAGGGGAAAATTTTACTCGAGAGCAAATCAAAGGTACCTTCCTATTCATCCAAACGGTCTCGGTTAAATATGCGGCTAATTATCAATGAAAGGTTGCAGTCGCTCCCGACGGTAACGGCGGAATCTACCAAGCTCTGGTGACTTCGGGTGCCAGAGACGATATGAAAAAGCGTGGAATCCAGCACATTCATGCCTATTGCGTCGACAACTGCCTTGTTCGGGTTGCTGACCCTACCTTTATCGGATTCTCTGCGTCCAAAAAGGTTGATATTGCCACAAAGGTTGTCCGAAAGCGTAATGCTACCGAATCCGTGGGCCTCATTCTCCTGAAGAATGACAAACCAGATGTTGTTGAATACTCAGAGATCGACAAAAATACAGCGGAAGCCAAAGACCCCAAAAACCCTGAAATTTTGAAATTCCGGGCCGCAAATATCGTCAACCATTATTACTCGTTCGACTTCTTTGAATCAATTGAGAGCTGGGTTTCAGATCTCCCACATCACGTTGCTCGCAAGAAGATCCCCTGTGTCGACACAAATACCGGAGCGACCATAAAACCCCAGACGCCCAACGGGATCAAATTGGAGCAGTTTGTGTTCGATGTTTTCCCATTGACACCGCTTGCAAAGTTCGCTGCTATCGAAGTCAAACGCGAGGATGAATTCTCACCTCTGAAAAATGCCAAGGGAACCGGTGAGGATGACCCCGATACAAGCAAGCGTGATATCATGAACCAAGGACAGCGATGGATTGAAGCTGCGGGAGCTATCGTGACGTCCGAGTCCGAGGGTGCTCCCGGTGTTGAGGTGTCGCCTTCCATTAGCTACGTGAGTCCCATTCCCTTTAGCAACTAATATTTGCCGAAAATTGTACTCACTTTATTACTGCAGAGCGGCGAAGGATTGGCGTTCCTCAAGGGAAGGACTATCAAGGCTCCTGCGTTGATTGAAACCGAGGATGTAGCTGCTTAAGGCCATTGGATGCAGGATCCGACTCCACACCCATGTTTGTCGCGGAAATAGCTCGGAGAAATACAACACTGCGTGTTACTCCGGATATAAAAGACTCTACGGCTACGTACATAGCATTTTCAAGTCCATATTGTGGTAGTGAACCAAAAGGGTGAATATCATAGAATTCATGAAAGTGAAATGCCTCAATTCGTATTCCCTGTGCCCTAAGATCGAGAAAGACGAGGACTGGGTCTGGGTCAATCCATGGATTTACGCAGAGTCATGACCTTGTCTGGGGTAGGCGCTAACGCGATTCGGGATAGTCGCAAAAGAGCTAAAGATTTTCATCCACCCCAAGATGACGGATCATTCTGCACTTTCTAAGTATCTTTCGGGAGTATCTTTACATTTCCAACGCACGGTCATTTGGACAACTGATAGGGAACTCGACTGTGGTCTCGGTGGGATTGAAGAGCCGTGAGGGTTTAGTTTGGAGTGCTGAGAAGTAAGTTATCCTATCCTTTAGTTATCTGTACCTGTCGCCCTTTTTTTTTTAAAACAAAAAGAAAAAAAAAGGTAGCTAAGACATTGAAATTCGGCCCTGTAGGTCCTGGACTGCTGGTTATTGGATATTGAGAAAGAATCTGAGTGTTCAAATATTAAAAGTGAGTTCATTATCCCATAAGCTCGAATCGGTGAAGCGTTGAGACCGCTGCTACATCCGAAAGCCTTGTCTATTTCCGAGTGACTTTGACCAATACGCTTTCTTGCTCAGCGGCTTGCCCGCACACTCCTTGCAGAAGTACTATCCCGAGCGAATCGGGGTGACTGTGGTATTCACGGAAGCTAACACCCTGGTGTACTTATAGAATGTTGTTGTCTCGTCGTGCCTGTTACAAGTGTGGCAACATCGGCCACTATGCTGGTGTGTATCTGGCTCTATGGATTCGCGATAGGTTTGGATCTCCGTACTGATAAGGACAGAGGTTTGCTCGTCTTCCGAACGCCTTTGCTATAACTGTTGGTTTTCTCCATAAGAGCCCACCTATTCCGGACAAATGCTGATTCGCACATGTACAGGCAAGCAGCCCGGTACGTTCGCCTCGTGGTAACATTCGACATTATTCCACTATAATCTAATATGGAGCCAGGACACGAATCAAACGGTTGTCCACGACCTCGTACTACTGAAAGTAAGTTTATCGGGTACGGTGGCACGAAGAAAATTCCATTAACTCTCTTTCAGCGAAACAGTGCTATCACTGCCAGGGCCTTGGACACGTCCAGGCTGATTGCCCTACCCTGCGATTGAACGGAGGAGCGACAAGTGGCCGTTGTTACAACTGCAATCTTCCTGGTCATTTAGCCGTGAGTTAAGCTTGTCCTTGAGAAGAGTAACCCGACCCTGATGTCATATAGCGGAATTGCCACAATGCCGGAATGCAAGGCGCTCCGCGCAACGTAGGCGGTGCTCGCGGAGGCTTCAATGCACCCTTCCGTGGTGGTTACGGAGGGTACCCAAGAGCGGCAACCTGCTACAAATGCGGCGGGCCGAATCACTTCGCGCGAGATTGCCAGGCCCAAGCCATGAAATGCTATGCTTGCGGTAAATTGGTAAGTCGAGATATGATTGGTACGGAGGTTTTATCCAGAGCTGACATTGTTTAAGGGACATATCTCGCGAGATTGTACCGCTCCCAACGGTGGACCTTTGAGCTCGGCAGGCAAGGTTTGCTACAAGTGCTCTCAGGCCGGCCACATTTCCCGGGATTGTCCCACCAATAATACCGCTAATACTACTACCGAGACTAATACTCAGCCTACAGCCGAGACAACAGCTCCCGCTCCACCAGCAACAGAAACTACCACTGAGGCTCCTCAGGCTCCAGCGGCTGCCACGACTCCAGCAGTGGCATAGAGGGTTGTAGACTACAGCCGTTGAGAGCACGCCCCCGCTCCTTCTTTACTAACTTCAGTCTTTTTCTTTTCTTTTTTGACTCGGTTTCTATCATTGATTTTGGATTAGTCTCATCTCATATATTGCACATATCACGCCCGTAACAAATCATCAGTACCAATATTTTATGTATACGACGAGCAAAGATTTCACGATGTCCTAGTTTCTACGACCCGGGTCCAGCATGGCTCAAGCCTCATGAAAAAAAAATCGGCGTCGAGTGTCTTTCAAAATGGAATTCATCTGCGTTTCACGTACTATCAGGAAGAGAAGAAAGAGCAAGGCATCTTGAGGGTTAATTGAGCGGAGTGAAAGGATGGAATGGACTAAAGCGAGCCGGAGTGGAATTGGCTTTCTCCGCCCATGGACGTTGGTGCTGACTTTCCAGTTTTACGGTACTGGCGTGGCTTTTCTGGTTACATGTCTAGTTGTGCTTTATTTCCCTTTCCTTTGACCCGGTTTTATCTGGTGTCGGTCTCAGTCTCTTAGTTTTCTTTCCTTTGGGTCTGTACAATATGCCGGCGGTTCTTCTACCGGGCTAAACTCGTTCTTGTCTCCATCTAGTCCAGCATGGTCCAAAAGCGGGATTGGTTTGCACGTCTGTCTCATTTCGGTTTCCTTTTGTAGTTCTGGGACTTCTATTTTGTTCTCTGCAAAGGCTATGGGACGATCATTGCATGCAGGCGGTGTTGTTTCCAAGGAGGCTCTGCAATCGATTTCCTAATATGGCAGCGCTCGTGACTTGAGGAGGGGTTAATGGGAATTCCCTCCCAGTCACTCTCACCTTCTCTCATGCCATGCGAGTATCTAGCTTTCCTTGAATCTCTTGAACTTACCCTGGAGCCTAGCATCATCATCATTAGTATCCAGGAAGCTTCTCCAATCTTCCTTTCCAGACACAATGCCTGCCTCAGATGCCAGCGGCAGTTTTGACGAAGACGTAAGCACTCAAACACTCAGTTCTTGTAGGGCAAGACAAGGCATTCGAGTTCCATTATTAACTTTTGATGCAATCGCGAGGACTTAGGAGAACTTCATTGTTGACATTGATGGCATTCAAGCACATGGTTTGTCAATCTTCGCAGGCAAAAGGCCGGCCCTCCCCTTCGCCCCGCGGCTAACTATTAGGTTTCAGGGATTGGTGCCTCTGACATCACAAAGTTGAAAGCCAACGGCTTTTATACTGTTGCTGTAAGTCGCAGAATGGTCCCTATTTTTCCGGGGAAGATGGCTGCAATGTTCCAGCTAACTGTTCTTCTGTAGTCCGTTCACGGCGCAACGCGCAGAACACTGCTGAAAATTAAGGGATTCAGTGAAGTTAAGGTGGAAAAGATCAAGGAGGCAATTCAGAAATGCCAGGTATGATCTCAAAACATTTCCGTAAGACACATAAACATGCAAGACTCAAAGATGCCTTAGCCCTCGGCTTCGGGTTTCATAACGGCAATGGAACTCGGCCATCAAAGAAAGAGGGTCGTCAGAATTTCCACTGGCAGTAAGCAATTTGACGCGATCCTCAACGGGTAAGAATGGAAAGAGTGTGCCTGGCCATAACGAAAGCTGACCCTCAGAAGCGGGTTCCAGAGCATGAGTATCAGCGAAGTCTATGGAGAATTTCGCTGCGGAAAAACGCAACTTTCGCACACAATGTCTGTTGTCGCTCAGCTGCCAAGAAGTATGGGCGGTGCTGAGGGAAAAGTTGCATATATTGACACAGAAGGGACATTCCGTCCGGAACGAGTCGGACAGATCGCTGAACGTTTTGGAGTCGATCCCGATTCCAGTCTAGAAAACATCGCGTATGCGAGGGCGTTAAACAGTGAGCACCAGTTGGAACTCTTGAATACCCTATCCAAAGAGTTTGCAGGCGGGGAATACCGTCTGCTCATTATTGACAGTATTATGAACTGTTTCCGGGTTGATTATTGCGGGCGTGGCGAGCTTGCAGATCGCCAGCAGAAACTCAACCAGTTTCTCATGAAACTGGCTCATATGGCTGAAGGTATGACCGTCAACGCACCAAGTAAATTGACCGAGTAAATACTCACGCACGATTAGAATTCAATGTCTGTGTTCTCATGGTAAATTCTCCCTAGCCCTAAAGTTGCTGATTGCCAAAACTCACACCACCCAGACGAATCAGGTGCAGAGTGATCCTGGAGCAAGCGCGTTATTTGCGGGTGCAGATGGCCGGAAGCCTGTTGGCGGCCATATATTGGCTCACGCCTCAACCACCCGGGTGCTTCTTCGCAAAGGGCGTGGGGAAGAAAGAGTCGCCAAAATCCAGGACTCTCCAGGTATGTCGCCTGAATCATGGATTTGGTATATAGGGCGCTCTGAAGTTGGATTGTCTGACCTTCTAATTCCTGGGCAGATTGTCCGGAACGGGAAGCGACGTACATTATCACAAACGGGGGTATAAATGACCCGGAGAAGGCATAGAAGGTTGACCCTTAGCTTTCTGAAAACCACTTTTCAGAGTCATTCGATCATCTTCAGAAGCAGACGCTTTTGCAATATTTGCTAATTAATTGTTGACGTACGGAGGGCTATGCATGGAATGCTGGAGTTTACGGGAGTAGAAGGCAAGATTTTCCGAGGTTAGAATTCACTTGCGGTCGCGTAAAATTTCCCTATTACATGAGCTTCAAAACTCATCTTTGTGAAAACACATTCGAAGATCGCAAGATCTTTCGTAATTCATTGATTTCCAAGATGGGCCGTGAGTATCCTTTAAGCCTATCTGGCTTTACAGTTCTTCCATTAGAGCTTCCACCGTTGCCTTCCCTGCCAAAGGCCGCAACCCATTTCCTCTACCTGCAACCACATCAGCCAAGAATCCCAGACCCTGATTCATCCCGCTCGCTGTTTCTCGTGAACGTCCCCATTACAGCTACGGAAGCTCATTTCAAACACTTCTTCGGTACCCAGCTGTGCGCTGGTCGGGTCGAGTCAGTGAGATTTCAAGATGTCCAGAGCACAAGCTCAGCTCCCGTCGTCAAACCAAGCGCTCAGTTGAGCAAAGGGAAAAAGCGCAAGAGGGAAACGGTCGAAGAACTGGAGCAAGAACTCAAATCCATACGGTTGCCGAAAACATGGGATCGAGAGCTTCAAAACCCCGGCGCGCATGCCGTTGTGGTATTTGTCGACAAGCCGAGCATGGAAGCGAGTTTGAAAGCTGCGAAAAAGGCCGCGAAGTCTAGAACTAAAATAGTATGGGGTCAAGGTATCGAGGATAAGTTGCCGCCTCTGGGATCACAGAGATACGAGAACCACAATCGTCTCAGATATCCGCCGAGAGAGGAGTTGAAACGTATAGCGAACGAATATATGCTCGTTTTTGACCGTCTCGAAGAGGCCCGTGCCCGCGAAGCTACTACGGGAGCACAAGTACCGGATGAAGACGGCTTTATCACAGTGGTCAAGGGACCGAAGCACAATCCCGATAGGGAGGATGAATTGAAGGCTCTGGCTGAGAAACAGAAAGAGAAGAATAAAGGTCTAGAAGACTTCTATCGGTTCCAGACGCGAGAGATACGGAAGGAGAAGCAGAACGAACTGCTAAAGGGATTTGAGGAAGATAAAAAGAAGGTTGAAGAAATGAAGAAGAGGAGAGGAAAGATCAGAGTAAGTTCCATTTCTCTTTCGTGCTAGAATATCTAGAACTGATTGATACAGCCTGAGTGAGATGGGATCGAATATCTACTATCTCCACGCTTCCGCGACCCGTAGCCTGAGAATATCAAGTACAGGTGTGCATAAACAGCAGTCCAAGGACAACTATATTTTCGCTGGGTAAGTCATATGTCCTATGGTTTAATTCCAAGAGCACCAGCAAGATGAGTCCGCTGGGGCCATATGAACGAGTGGCTTCGCATAGTCATCTCGATGATTTGAACTCCAGTTTTCTCATTGACCAAAATCTTCTCTCAATTTCTCTGAATTGGTCTCATATGCTGCGTTTCTATAGTGAAACTTCCGCTGAAACACGACTAACTTGAACTTTCCGAGATAGAATCTTCCTCTCAGTGGTCCTCGAAGATACGTGTAACTGCGCAGGCCTACCCTTGTGACCACTGCAAGCAATTGACTCCGAGTATACTTCCGATTTGCGAGGCGATGGCAATCGATCGCCAAATGCGTGGTCACGCGCATACGCACAAAGGCCAAAATTACCGTAATGCTGGGATTCCTTCAAAGACAGGTGACCTTTTCAAATAGTGCCCGTAGCATTTGGCCTTCCGCCCAGAAGTTTGTAGATACGATTGCATACTTGGGAGCCGAAGTATACCGATTTTCTACGGAATAGAAGAGGGAGTGGTGTGCCATTTGCTTTTACGTGGAGGACGATGGTCAGCTGCTCACCAAAAGGGTCAGAGTTAAGCATGTATGTATGTACATACATACGAGCAAGCAAGCAAGCATCTTAACAAGTCCCGTATAGCTTTGTAAATGAATCTGGTGTTGGGCGAGCTACAAATGCGATTTGCCGTAGTTATGGGTTTGGTCTCTTTGCGCTTGACGTAACTGGCTGAACGAGTGGCGGAGAGGGCTCACACATCACAAATCGCAGACAGTGATCAAGTCCTCCATCCGAAGAGTGTTTAGATGCAATCGCCCTGCGTTCATCCTTCTTGGCTTTTCTTATCGACCTAGTCACGTATACCCTACCAGTTGCTACGTCAGATCCGCGAGGTACTCCGTCCGACCCCCTCCTCAACTCCTACCAGCGTCATCATCACCTAGTTATTTTGAAGTCCAAGGTACCTTTCATCACTACATTGGACAATATGTATACCCCTCCTCCGCAAGGCGGATTTTTCCCTTCCTCCCTCCCTTCTCCTGCTCCGTCGTCCGCGCTGTCGTCAGCCACGATCTCCCATTCGTTGCCTCAACAAAGGCACCATCCTCTTAAGCCCGGATCATCGAAGGAGACAGCGGTGATCAATTACGTGGATAGTCACATACTAGCGATCAACCGGCGACATGCGAAGAAGTTCAGCAGTTCCTTTTCAGGCGAGAAGGATGAGGACAGAGGATACGAACGATTCAGAGAAGTAGCGAAAGATATCGAAGGCATTGCAGATGTTCTATGGGTGAGCGGGACTCGTGAGTGACAATCTTTTCCTACCTAATCTCTATCTCTCTCAAACGTTTTAAATGTTGAGAGGTATTGATTGCTTTTTGATTAGCATCCCTACAGACGCCGTATCTCATCTCCATAGCGGGCCTTTTAAACACGTATCTTCCAGACTACCCTTTCTCACCCAGGTCTACGTTCCGACTGGTAAGGAAGCTTGACGCGATGTTTGCTTCTTTGCTACAAGGCGAGGATATTGAAACAGGGCAGCCCCTTCCGGGGTTTGAGAACAGGAGGAATCAGGTCTCCATGACGGAGAAAGTACGAATAAAGAGTATCGCAGAGAGCACGCGCATCACGGTGCTAGATACGCAGGATCAGGGAAGTCCGTTGGAGTTTGATATTGAGGATGAAGATGGCGATGGAAATGAGGCTAGGGATGATGATGGTGATTTTGGCACCGGCGAATTCGTCGCTGATTCGGGTCCAGGTAGATGGGAGATGGAGTCCGCAAAAGTCTATGAGAGGACTATACAGCTGCTGGGAGACGAGCTTGGGAAGCAGGGAGGGTTCTAATACCGGTGAAGGGTCGATAGGTCTCCTTGATATTTGTTGTAGTGTTCTGGGCCTTCGCTCTACCAGCCGAGACTCGAACGATTTTGGTCGCTCTTGACAGCTCGCCGATGTGACGTGTGCTTATCTAATCAAGGATATCGTCACGTCATCGATGAACGGACGAATGGCTCCGCTGGGCGATTCGAGCAGCGCGTTCTTTGGGAATTCTGGAAGCTAAAAAAAGAGGTACAAGATTCTATTATTATGTGTCCTGCTACATGCAGGTACGTGTTTTGGCGGAATTCAGCCATCGGGGAGGGGGTTGCGTCTGGGGAGAAGAATTGGATGTTTTGGGAGGAGGGGTAGTTTGGCTGAGGGCAGGCCTTTCAGTGGAAGCCGCCAAGCGGAGGGTGACCGCTAATCCCTGCGAGCTCCGCCAGCATGGCCCTTGGCCATTGCTTGCATATCGCGAGTGCTGGGAAGGGCGATCATTGGCTAATTTTTCAGATCCACGAGGTTCTGTTCAGATTGATTTTCGTCATTAAAAAGCCCTTCACACAGCAAGAGAACGACTGAGCGTATTCAGCGCGGCACCACGCGTCGTGCTGTTTCTCTCGTACAGCGTATGTAATGTTTTAAAACATATTGCCCAATCAGATGCCCCGACGCCTACAGAGTGTGGCTATGCGCGGGTGAGATACACTCGCGTGACCGTAATACCGTCGACACGGTGAGCCCTATGCGTAATTATTCCTCCGCAGAAAAGTACCGAGAACTGCCAGGCACAAGCAAGAAGGAAATACTTGTTGGGCCGAGATAAAACGAATCCAGCGCCTTTTTTTTCACCAGCTTCATTGGCCTGGCCTGAATTGATTTTGGCCATTTTTAGCACAGGTGGCGCCTGTGAGGTCACCACGCCTGTCCCCTTTTTTTTATTTTTATTTTTTTTTATTTTTATTTGTTTTTCGTATGAGACCTTAACGGCGGATGCCTGTTCTTTCAACGACCGCCTGCGTGTTCGGGCGATACGAGCGCGTTCGTTACCTGAGACTGAGATCTTGGAATCGCTGAGACCGATTTTAACCTTGCGCGCGGGTGCAAACCCCTCGTTCTCTTTCCAGAGACATTCTTTGGTACCCTTAGTAATTTTTCTCCGCTCTTGGGATAGGTTTCGCCTCTTTCTGGTACCCTCTTTTGATCACTCAAGAGAACCTACGGCCATGGTAGACGGAATTTAATAATTGTAGTGCACGGAGCAAAGAGGGTGTGATCGTAGCAAGGAAAAGTCTGGTTCCTCATCTTCGCTCTTCTGAGGCTATTTTTTTCCCACCGGCTTTCCCTCTTTTTTTTTTTTTCCCTTCCTCCCCTCTTCCTCTCCTCTTCCTCTTTTTTTTACTTTTTTTTTTTTTTCTTCCCTTTTTTTAATCTCTTATCCCATCAACTCCGAGTTTATCAACCAACCCCTCCCTTATCGCCCTGCTTCTTTTTTATCGCTCCTCGTTGTTCCTTTTTCCCTTTCTTGCGTGTTTCGTTCGCGACGGGTTCAAGGTTCTCTAGCCTGCGTGTCTTGCTCGTGTCCCCTTCTTGCGCGCAACTTGTGGGAGTTCCAAAATCTTCGGGTTCCTTTTTGCAGCCATTCCAACCGACCGTTCCGATTTGAATCTGCAAGGTATCTTCCTGCATTTTGTTTGCCATTTAAAGGCTTGGTGAGTGGCTTTATTTTGATAGCAGCATCTTTCTTTGTTTATTCTTTTTATTTTTTTTTTTTATTATATTTTTTTTTTTTTTAAAGAAAGTCACTCTGTTGTTTTTGCGGATTCTGTTTGTTCGGTTTTTATACTTGCGCCCGCCTGTCTGGCTGGACTGTTTCGAAAGGTTTATAAGGACAATCGATCTACACCATTGCTGCTCTTGATAGTCGAGCACGCCTCAAAACCGGGTTGACGCTCCTGTTGGCCAGACTGGCGTGTCATGCAGCGAATTGCAGGATCTTCTCATCTTTTTAAAGTCTCCCGCATCCTGCTCCTCTTTAGTCAGTGTCGCCACCTACAGCCGTGCCTAAAGCGCTTGACCCCTTTGAAATGTGACTTGCTCCCTGCTCTCGCATTACAGCCTTAAGCATCATCATCAGCCAGGTATACCTTGATATGAGAATCGCAACTGAGGCTGTTGACAAAGGATAGTGCTGGCAGGCGCCGGTGGGCGACTGGCTAAGAGAACAACACAAGTGTAAAAAGAATATATTGTCGTCATGGATCTCCCATCAGCGACTCATTGAGTCTAGTGGGATTGCCCCGATTCAGCACAGGACCTGAACCCCCACGCCGACCATAATGCGCAGCAAGATGCAAACCAACCGGACTAGCAGGCCTTTATTGCATTGTTGCTGCAATATGGTGCATTGGTGTGCAAGACTACAGAAACTTCCCACCTGTTGTGATTCCCAACTTGTTTTGCCCAGGACACTATTAGTTAGGGTGTCTTTTCGGCACGCTACCGTGTTTTTTCTCCATCCTGCTTGGCGCACCTGCTGACCTCTTCAAATCCACATCCTCACTCTCAAACCACATCGCCCACATTTCTTCATCTTCCCTTTTCACCCTTCTCTCACTCTTGTTCGGCGGGTTTCTTTCCGGTTGTCGCTGTAACATCATTTGCTTTCATTTCCCATTCACTTTCCGTCTGATCTTTTCTTTGTTCACCTTCTGACTTTGACTACGTCATTGCGATTCTAATTTTTAACTGTCAATTAACCTCCTGTCATTTCAGTCACTTCTGATCTTGCTTCCCTTCATTAGGTGCATTTCCATCTCTCGTTTTTTTCTCTTTTTATTTTCCTTTTTGTTGTCGCTCATGTTAGATGTTTTCAGCCAGGTGAAGTGTTGCTAACAGTGATGATTTCTGCAACAGACACGCGAGTCTCTCTTCGTCGTCAACCTGGGTATCCTCAGCCTCGTGTTTGTTCCCGTCTTTCCTTAACGACCCTACGATTTAAGTCGCAACGGCCGTATTTGCAGCATATCGCACCTTGCAAGGCTTTTACTCTGAAAGGTGAGTCGACTTGAATTATTGTTCACCGGACGCGATCGTACAATTAGGGCCTTAGCTCTGTCGGCTATCGCGGAACTTCTCTCGAGAACGGACGTGAATATTTGATGTCGCCCCAATTGGCTACGCCATTCAAACCCACTCGCTGAGCTACTCGAGTTGCTAACTATTTTGCGAACCCTGTAGGTCCCATCACGGTTTTTCCTTGACGATTTCTTGAAAAGTATCTAGACGGTATATTTCGTTGCATATCGGAAGAACTTGATCATTATCCTGTAGCCATGTCGTTCCAGAATTTCGATACTTTTCAGAACCAGCACGGCGCTGCCGAGTCGCCTGCCAATCCTGCGGGTCCTGCTCCTCCTGCCGACCAAACCATGACGGGTCAGCCGGATGCTACTGCTCCTGGTTTCCAAGGCCCTGCTCCAGGTGAAGCTTCTGCTGCGCCCGGTGGACAGCAATCTGGTGAAGGCAAGACCACTCTCTGGTAAGTCTAACAACATTTACTCGTCTTGTTCAACTTAACACGTCGACTCTAACGCCGCATTCATAGGATGGGTGAGCTTGAGCCATGGATTGATGAGAACTTCATCCGCAATATCTGGTATCAGATGGGCGAACAGGTTAACGTGAAGATGATTCGTGACAAGTTCTCTGGGTATGTTCTTTTATCTTCTGGCCCCAGCTTGGCAGGGCTGTATCTGATCCAGGCATACGTTTAGGAGCAACGCCGGATACTGTTTCGTCGATTTCGCGACCCCTGCGGCAGCTGCTAAGGCTTTGTCGGTTAACGGAACTCCTATGCCCAACACCAATCGCCCATTCAAGCTCAACTGGGCCACCGGTGGTGGTTTGTCCGACAGGTCGTGAGTTCCTCCCAGTAGAGATTTTTGGTTTCTTTTTGCTAATATCTATCCTAGTCGTGAGGATCGCACCCCCGAATATTCCATCTTCGTCGGTGATCTTGGTCCCGAGGTTAACGAATACGTCTTGGTTTCCCTTTTCCAAAGTCGCTTCCCATCTTGCAAGTCCGCTAAGATTATGACCGACCCAATCAGCGGCATGTCTCGCGGTTATGGATTTGTTAGATTCTCCGACGAGACCGATCAGCAGCGTGCTCTTACTGAAATGCAGGGTGTGTACTGTGGCAACCGTCCAATGCGCATCTCCACTGCGACTCCCAAGAATAAGGGTCCTTCTGGTGCTCCTGGCCAGATGGGTATGCCCGGTGCCCCTCCCGCTGGCATGTATCCACCTGCGATGGGAGGTCCACCGATGGGCTACTATGGCGCTCCGCAGCCGATGAATCAGTTCACTGATCCTAACAACACCACTGTCTTTGTTGGCGGTTTGTCTGGCTATGTCACTGAAGACGAACTTCGCTCCTTCTTCCAAGGCTTCGGAGAGATCACCTACGTCAAGATTCCCCCTGGCAAGGGTTGCGGCTTCGTACAGTTCGTTCAACGTCATGCTGCAGAGATGGCCATCAACCAGATGCAAGGCTATCCGATTGGCAACTCCCGTGTCAGACTTAGCTGGGGTCGTTCTCAGAACAACTCCGGGCCAGCTGGCACACCCTATCGCCCTGCACCACCCCCACCCATCTATCCATCCATGGGCATGCCGCCATCCCACCAATACGGTGGCGGGTTTGCGCCAATGAAGGTAAAGTCTTCGAAGTTCTGCGATTTTTCCATACTGGACAATTGACTGACTGGTTAGAAGTGAGAGCGTTTCGTCTTCGTTTAAGCACCAGCAGGAGTTCTGCGTCTCTTTGAAAGATGGGTCCATGTGTCAACATTTAGTTTAAGGTCTTTCTTCAATTTTAACAAGGCTCTGCTTTACGGCTCTTGATGGGCGTTTTTCTCCTGTGCTTGGCACTTAATGTACTCGTGAAACGTTTCTTTGCGGATTCAGCCTTTGCCTCTTTTTTCCCTTCACTATTCTTGAAGTGTTTTCCCAGTTTGCAATTCCTACTATTATTCTCTTCTTTACCCTTTCAAATTGATTCAGCACTGTCATGCCTCCTAGTTGTGTTGCTTCGTTTTCCCAGGATTCTGGAATGCGACATGTCCAATTTATTTAAGCTTCGGTACTACTCCTATTCCAATTCTCTCGGTCGCACCCTTGGGTTGGCAGTCTGCAAAAAGTTTTCTTCCTTTCTCATGTCACGGAACAGCCAAAATTGAAATGTTTTTCTGCTTTGCTCCGCCCAAGATTGTCTATCCCCCCACAGCTTTCTTGCTAAACTGTTACGTGTACAACACCGTCAGCCATTATGTTTTCACTTTTTCTGACTTTCGTCAACAATGGCCCGTTTTCCAGTCGCCTTTTGTTTTTCTCCCCTACGAATGTGATGCTCTCGCTGTGTACGCTGTTACCACGCAAGCTTTGACGCTCGGTTCCCTTTGTTTCGTAAACTGATCTGACGCTCGTTTTAACATCTTTACCTTTTTTTTTTTTTCTCTTCTTTGGCCGCCTCCAAACGGTGCGTCTCCTTTTTTCTCATATGAGTATGTGACTTTAGGCTTCTAGCCCAGCGCGGTTCTTCATACATCCTTTGTCTGCTACTTCCAATGGACTTCTTCCTTTTCTTTTCTTAACTGGATTTGGTACTTTGAAGCGGCATCGTACCTCATGGAGTTCTCCAACTGCAGCTTTTCTTTTCTGAAAATTGGTGAGGTGATATTCCCCCCTCCCCAATTTGGTGGTTCAATTGTATTCTGCAGTCTGCGCAGCGGCTCATTCGAACCCTTTTCCTATGGTACTCGACTATTATCTGCCATTTTCTTTGTAGCGTCTCATGGAATTGGCTGCTTAATTTTTATTTTATTTTATTTTTTTTTTTCGGTTCGATATAATGAGCGTGTACGATATTGCGGACGACCTTTGAGTATGGCGATACCGGATTAGGTACGGACTAGCCACTGAAGCTTCGGAATGGAATACCCAGTTTGTCCTACAGTTTAAGATTCAAGGTTCGTGATTATTACCTGGTAATTCAATTACACAATATCAATGAACAGAGGATTGCCCGACTCAGTACTCGCCTAACTATATACCTAGTGATTAGAGTGTTATTATGCTAATATTATAAAAGGTCAGTCGAAGAAAATAAAGTACCAATTATCCAATAAATTAAATGTTTTGAGATATATTGAGGCCTCTAAATTAGCAACTGGTATAGGAAATGGTGGTTGCCGTATGCTGAAACAGCTGGTTACACTAAAAGCAGCTTGCGGTTCTGGCTGTCCAACGCGCCCAGTACGGAGTACAGCAAGCTCAATATCAAGAATTCGACAAGGCTGATAGGCGAGGCAGTGAAGTACAAGGCACATTAAAATTTGTACGTACTTAAAATGAACGGGCAAAACGTCCCAGGTGCCAGAAAAAGATTTCTCACATCTACTGCCAGCTGTGGCGCATATAAGGACAGACATCTCTCCCATCCATACCGCATGTGTTATTTCTTTTGTATACCAGGTTATCGTTTTCGTCAAAACCAAGAATCGAGGTTATCGAGATGAAGACGCTCCGTTTTGGGCAATCAGGACACACCTCAGTGTTGAAACCCCGACGCGAGTGGCAGTACGTTGAAATTTGGGATGAGTTCGTATGTTAACGGCTTTCGAGTCGATAAGTAATTTGGTCGGGGGAACTATTCAGCTAAGAGTTGAGCGCCCGATAGAACAGCCCTGCTGGTTTCAGCTCCAGTGAGAAATTCTTGAGCGAGGAAGAATTGCTGCAATGGGTATCAAAGGTGCAACATTTTTGGCCTCCTAAGGCCCTCCTTTTTTTTGGGCCGATCTGCCGACTGACACCACTAACTACCCACTGCAGCGTCGTGAAGCTCGGCCAAAGGCAACTCACAGGGTCCTGTACGCTGAGAAGCATCCTCCAACTGACGACACAAACTGATTAGCGTAAAGGTTCAGCCCGGCGTCTCCAGATGGTGAGCCTCCGGCTTTAGGAGCAATTCCACGGCGCACTCTACAGAGTATAACCCGTGCCTGGAACCTCCCCTCCTTGACCTATCTTGCCGATTCGAGGGAAATGTCAGTCTGTTATACAGCAAAGGCCGTGGCTCAGATCGATCGTGTCTCTGGTTAGCGAATGTTCCTCGCCCTGGACGTACGAGAATATGTTAATAGTATGTAGGGCTGGTATTGCGGAATAACCACGGTGGGCATTGGTTCTACTGCCTTGCAATGAGCTACAATGGAGAGACGCGGGAAACATGTGCTCTAATCATCGGACTTCACAATAATTCGATCCAATCTCTCAAAATGTGGCTTAAAGACTGGTCTGTCCATGATTCTAAGCCTACGCATCCGCTCTTTCTGCCGTCCGTACTCATCGAGGAATCATTGTTAAGAATTTCAAATTCTCTACAACTACATCGCGATAAAGTATGGGAAGTTGAAAATGATACGGGCCTACATTATCGCAACACCGATCCAGATCATCCCAACAGATCCGAGGCCTTGGATTTGGACAGAATTATAAGGAAACTGACCGGTCTTCCAGGGGCAATATCTCATATAGAATTTATCTGTCAAACACAGCTCCGGTTCTTAGAAACACTAGCTCAGTGGTCAACGGCTGCTTATGCAGTTACTACGGCTGAACGCGACCTATACTGGACCTCAATGATCGAAAAACTGGACCTGATGAAAAGCAGCTTCACACACTTCCTTGGCGCTTCGGAGTACACCCACTAGCGCATACAAGCTCAGACACAGACAGTAGATAAGAAAATTCCTATTGTTTAATCTGACAATGTTTCTAATCATGACTGCAGATCTACACGTTGCTCGGACAGCGAGATAACCATCTCAACCGATCCATTGCCGAGAGCCAGAGGCGTGATAGCATGGATATGCGGATAATTGCTGTGGTCACACTTTTGTTCCTACCCCGAATGTTCACCGCAGTGAGTGTTCGGCGCCATCGAAACACCAGTTGCCGCCAGTTACATCAAAGTATTGCCAGAACTCGATACTGATTATTTCTGCTTCATTTTGCAGACGCTATGTAGCACCACCTTTTTTAACTTCCAAGTTGGCCAGGAGCAAAAAGTCCTGTCCTCTTGGATCTGGATCTATGGCGTGGCCACCGTCCTCTTGACCTTTCTTGTATTGGGAGGCTGGGTCTATTGGACGCATGGAGAGGGCCGGAAACATCAATACCAGAAAAAATCTCGCCTTAGGCATGGCAATGAGATGCATGATGCTTCCCTCAGCCCTGATAGTCAGCAAGGGGATATGTTGGCGTTTCACTGGAAGGGAGCCTAGGAGGCTTGCTTGGAAAAGAAGTCTCTGGGATCGACGGGAGCTGTTTTGGATAGATGTAATTTCTGTATGTCTCGCTCGACGGATTTTCTGAGAGCCGCTGTCTCGGTCACAGACGCCCTACTTGGATTCTTACGGCAATATTGAGCAGTCGCTTTGCTCAACACCCTAGAAAAGATCATGGAGAAAGTCATGGGAAAGAGAACCTCGAAAATGGCGGGAAAAGAAATACGTTACTCCTTGAGGCCCATATGGGAGGAAGGAAAAAGAGTTTCAATAGAACATCTGCCAGCCGCCTTAAAACATTCTTTTCCACTGTTGGCCAGCCCCTCCAGCTATTCTCTTCATAGTAGAGAGGGCTATCCCCTTCTTTGGACCTGTCAAACACCAATTTTGCAGTCAAACTTGAATTTCAAGACTGCTCCAAAGTTAAGCCTCGAAGCAATTGGGGATGTCCGCGTGAAGTTCTCCAAGCTCCTCATTCAGTATATCATCGACATTTTCCCCGTATTCCGTTGAGATGGCGAAACTGCGTGTGTTTTACAGCCGGGGAGTGTGTTGGATGCAGAATAGGGCATTTTTTTGAACTCCCATATTAGCCAACGATCAATGTCAATGGGTTAAGGTAGTTCACCACTAAGTGAGCCACACCACTAAATGAGCCAAATCTTCCACCACCAAAATTCCTCCAACATTCAACATTCAATATGCAACAACATGGTCAACAATGCCTCAATTAGGCTTGCAATTGAAGATCTTGAATTGCAAGAGACCCCAAATTACACTGCAACTGTGAGAAAGTACTCAGTTAACCAAGAGACCCTGCACCAACAGCATAAAGGCTTGCAACTTGCTCAGAATGAAGCAGCCTTCTGATATAAGAAAAAGCTCTCTGATATACAGGAGGCAGAGCTCCTGAATTATATAAACAAGCTCTCTAGCCACAGCCTTGCCATTAAGGTAGTTCACCACTAAGCAAGCCACACCACTAAACAAGCCAAATCTTCCACCACCAAAATTCCTCCAACATTCAACATTCAATATGTGATAACATGGTCAACAACATCTTAATTAGGCTTGCAATTGAAGATCTTGAATTACAAAAGATCTTAAATTATACTACAATTATAAGAAAGTACTTAGTTAACTAAGAGACTCTGTACTGATAATATAAAGACTTGTAACTTGCTTAGAATAAAGTAGTCTTCTAATATAAGAAAAAGCTTTCTGATATACAGAAGACAGAGCTTCTGAATTATATAAATAAGTTCTCTAGTTACAATCTTGCCATTATATCTCAGGTTCTACAAAATATTATATAAGAGATAACAGAAGAGAATGTTAGAATTAACTAAATTAATTAATTTCACAAGCAGTATAATAATAGGATTAAATATATTTATCTTAAAGTAATTAATTAAAATAGACAGATAGTAGATAATTATTAGTGCTTTAAGTACTTCTATATGCTTGTAATTTAATAATTTATTTAATTACTTATAATTACAGTTATTAATACTGGCTAATTATTTAATTATTACTTATAAAATAGTTGAAGCAGAAAATTAATTAATATAATCTTGAGTTCTTAAATATCTATAACTTTAATAAAAAAGAATTTCTTCTAGACTTCTGTTATATTTCAAAGTAATTAGTCTCTATTAAAGCTCTATAAGCTGGAAAGAATACTACTATTTAGAATAATAGTTGAGAATTTCTCTTATTACTCTGTTTAGTTTCTGCTAAAGAAATTATACTATCTTCAGCTCTTATTTATCAGAGCAAATCACAAGATCTTTAGAATATATAGCTAGATAATTATAATGAAAGTGAATGAGTTTACTTTGCAGCTTTAACAAATAGTTAAAGCAATAATAAATATAAACTAAAGTAGTTAAAATGAATTTTTAATTAGTATACTAAGAAATAAGCTAATTAAGAAAGATATTTGCTTCTACTAGATGATTATTTCTTTCATATAAATATGAAATTTATTAAATACACTAATTATAAAAAGATTCTTCTTATAATTCTTCTGCTACATTTAACTTACTATTTACAATCTCTTGATATTGAAATCTTTAAGTTACTAAGCAAGATATATTTTAATAAGCTGAAAGCACTACTATATCAAGAAATAAGCTATATTCAAATAACAAAAAGAGATTTCTGAAGATTATTTAATATGGCTTGAAAGAAGACTTTAACAGTTAAAAATATACTTGCTAACTTTGTAAAGACTGGAATTAACTCTCTGGATTCTTAATATTAACTATACTGATTTGAAACTGCTCAAGTCTCTATACTGTCAGTTAAATCTTCTATTTCTAGTAATATACACTAGCTCTGACAAGAGATTAGAAGTATATATCTTCAGCACAGTCTAAATTTACAGAATATTGAACAGATTATCTAAGTCAGTAAGCAGTTTGCTTTTTATAATAAACTGCTGAAATATAAGAATCAGTAACTAAGATTAACTCTAGTAATGAAGAAGTAACACTACAAGTAAGGCAAGTCTCTAGATTTACTTAATAAAGATAATTCTAGTTAAGTGCAGTTCTGATCTTCAATAAAAGTTTTTAAGACATGTGAGTGTCTGAATAAAATAGAGACTGAAAAAGCTGATAAAATTATTTAAATACAAGAGATAAAACTTCAATAAGAGCTTCAAAAAAAGCAGACTGCTAGAAATATTGAAAAAAGATAGATTAAATAAGAGAATGTCTGTAAAAAGACTCAGAAGTAATGAGAGATCAAAAAAATTAAATATACTAGATAAAGAGAGACACAATATATTGCTTGTAAGAAGAAGAAGACTTTATAACTAGCAGAAAAGAAAAAACAGATAGTTAAATATACTAATAAATACTGATAGTCAGAACTTCAAGTACTGACTTTAAAGTACTATCAGAAGAACTTCTCTACTAAAGATTCTTATTATAAAGAGTCTATATAATCTTTCAAAAGAGAAAATAAGAGCTCTACAAGTATCTCTAGCAAGATATTAAACTTTCTAGCTGAGAAATCTACTATTGATATTTTTTTGAATTCTTTTCTATCTACTCTCTGAATTTCTTACTCTGGCTGTAATATTAGGCTGTCCACCTGTTTATTTTTCTAACTATACTAATTTCTATGCTTTAAAGAATATATTTATTTAATATTTAATAGCTATTTAATAATAAAGATCTGGTTGTTGAGATATTTAATAAATTTGTTGTGTGAAGCATTTGGTGAAATTTGGCTTGTTTAGTGATGTGGCTTGTTTAGTAGTGTGGCTTGTTTAGTGGTGTGGCTTGTTTAGTGGTGTGGCTTGTTTAGTGGTGAACTATCTTACACCTCAGATTCTATAAAATATTGTACAAGAGATGACAGAAGAGAATGTTGGAATCAACTAGATTAATTAATTTCATAAGCAGCATAATAACAAGATTAAATATATTTATCTTAAAGTAATTAATCAAAATAAACAGATAGCAGATAACTATCAGTGCTTTAAGCACTTCTATATACTTATAATTTAATGATTTATTTAATTACTTGTAATTGCAGTTGTTAATACTGGCTAACTATTTGACTACTACTTATGAAATAGTTGAAGCAGAAAATTAATTAATATAATCTTGAGCTCTCAAATATTTATAACTTTAATAAAAAAGAATTTCTTCTAGACTTCTGCTATATCTTAAAGTAATTAGTTTCTATTAAAGCTCTATAAGCTGGAAAGAATACTACTATCTAGAATAATAGTTAGAAATTTCTCTTATTGCTCTGCTTAGTCTTTACTGAAGAAATTACACTATCTTCAGCTCTTATTTACCAGAGTGAATCACAAGATTTTCAGAATATATAGCTAGATAATTATAATAAAAGCAAATAGATCTACTTTACAGCTTCAACAAATGATTGAAGTAATAATAAATATGAACTGAAGTAGTTGAAACAGATTTTTAATTAATATACTAAGAAATAAGCTGATTAAGAAAAATATCTGTTTTTACTAGATAATTATTTCTTTTATATAAATATGAAATTTATTAAATATGCTGACTGTAAAAAAATTCTTCTTATAATTCTTCTGTTATATTCAACTCACTATTTATAATTTCTTCATATTAGAATCTTTAAGCTACTGAGCAAGGTATATTTTAATAAGCTAAAAGTACTACTACATCAAGAAATAAGCTATATTCAAATAACAAAAAGAGATTTCTAAAGACTATTTAATGTAGCTTGGAAGAAGACTTTAATAGTTGAAAATATACTTGCTGACTTTATAAAAACTGAAATTAACTCTCTGGATTCTTAATATCAAGTATATTAATTTAAAATTGCTTAAGTCTCTATACTGTTAGTTAAATCTTCTATTTCTAGTAATATGCATCAGTTTTAACAAGAGATTAAGAGTATACATCTCCAGCACAGTCTAAATTCACAAAGTATTAAACAGATTATTTAAGTTAGTAAGCAGTTTGCTCTTTATAATAAACTGCTGGAACATAAGAATTAGTAGCTAAGATTAACTCTAATAATAAAGAAGTAATACTACAAGCAAGACAAGTCTCTAGATCTACTTAATAAAGATAATTCTAGTTAAGTACAGTTCTAGTCTTTAATAAAAGTTCTTAAGACATGTGAGTGCTTGAATGAAATAGAGACTGAAAAAGCTGATAAAATTACTTAAATATAAAAAATAAAACTTCAACAAGAGCTTCAAAAGAAGCAGACTGTTAGAAATGTTGAAAAAAGATAAATTAAACAGAAGAATGCTTATAAAAAGATTCAGAAGCAACAAGAAACTGAAAAAATTAAATATACTAAGTAAAGAGAGATATAACATATTGCTTGTGAGAAGAAGAAGACTTTATAACTAGCAGAGAAGAAAAAACAGATAATTAAATATATTAATAAATACTGATAGTCAGAACTTCAAGCATCAGCTTTAAAGTACTGTTGAAAGAACTTCTCTACTAAAGAGTCTTATTACAGAGAGTCTATAAAATTTTTCAAAAGAGAAAGTAAAAGCTCTACAAGTATCTCTAGCAAGATATTAGACTCTCTAGCTAAGAAATCTACTGTTGATATTTCTTTGAATTCTTTTCTATCTATCCCCTGAATCTCTTGCTCTGGCTGTAATATTAGGCTGTCCACCTGTTTATTTTCCTAACTATACTAATTTCTATGCTTTAAAGAATACATTTATTTAATATTTAATAGCTATTTAATAATAAAGATCTGGTTGTTGGGATATTTAATAAATTTGTTGTGTGGAGCATTTGGTGAAATTTAGCTTGTTTAAGATAGTTCACCACTAAACAAGCCACACCACTAAACAAGCCAAATTTTGCCAAATACTTTATGCAATGAATTTATTAAATATCTCAATAACCAGATCTTTATTATTAAATAGCTATTAAATATTAAATAAATGTATTCTTTAAAGCATAGAAATTAGTATAGTTAGGAAAATAAATAGGTGGATGGCCTAATATTACAGTCAGAGTGAGAGATTCAGAGAGTAGATAGGAAAGAATTCAAAGAAATATTAATAGTAAATTTCTCAGCTAAAGAGTTTAATATCTTGCTAGAAATACTTGTAGAGCTCTTACTTTCTCTTTTGAAAGATTATATAGACTCTCTATAATAAGACTTTTTAGTAGAGAAGTTCTTTTAACAGTACTTTAAGATCAGCACTTGAAGCTCTGATTACTAATATTTATTAGTATATTTAATTATCTGTTTTTTTTTCTCTGCTAGTTGTAAAAGTCTTTTTCTTCTTATAAGTAATATATTATGCCTCTCTTTATCTAGTATATTTGATTTTTTCAGTCTCTTATTGGAGCGGGGTACGATGGGATGCCTCGTCAAAGTAGGCGAGTTGGTTGATATGGTGAGAGCACAAGAAAGGTGAAAAATCACCATATAGTAAGGGTATGGTTGAGTAGTAAGTGTAGAGATAGATATGTTCTAACAGATGCCTAAGCTTGCAAGGAGTAATAGTACTAAAGAGCCCTGTACTAACACAGGCAGCTCTAATGAGGAACAGTAGCACATTTCATGAACAAGAAATCTTCATATTCTCTAACTAATAGCCAAACTGGTAGTAAGGAACAAGTGTATAGAAAAGAGCAATGGTGCATGAAGGTAATAAGCAAGATGCAGGGGCTACAGGTGGTTTATATAGCTCAAGAATAGTAGCTTTGGGGTGGTTTGTGCCTTGGACCAGAACAACCTTTGTTCTAATAAGGTATCAGAATCTCCACTACATTTTCTCCTGGCCTTCAATATTGGTGTCCCCTGACAACAAACAACATATAAAATAAAACAAAACCAATTTAGTAAAATAAGAGAATAATAAATAGTAATGAGCAGTCTGGTAAGGAAAAACATAGGAAATAAGAATAAGGAGAGTGATAGCAGCAATCTCTAATAGTGATCATTATGATCCTCTTCTTCCATCAAGTTCTCAGGAGGAGAAGAAGACCAAACTGACACTGGGTCAATGTTGTTGTGCACACAATGCCAGTAGAATTTATTACCAAAAGCTTTCTTTTCAATTTGGTAAGTCTTGACAATGGCATTCAGAGCAATTTGCATGGTCTTTAGATGCCAGTTATTAATGAAGTCCTGAGCCTTTTTGTCATCAGAGCCAAAGAGAATATTGAGTTCCTCAATTACCATGGGGTTGTCCCATCTAATTTGTCCTACCAGGGCATCTGATATAGCTCCTAAGCCTTGTAATTGAATAGTGGTAGGGAATTAATATGGAACTGATGTGTAATGATTTGAATGGCTGGATGGAGATGAAGGCCCTGGAACTAGATCTCTATGTGCAGTGGAGAGCTGGGACCATATACCAGCTTTATTGACTTCTAGATGTTCATGGTCCTCTTGGATTGCCACATACCAGGGTAGCATAGTGTGTTGGATCTTTTTGCATGGACCATGGGCTCCATGGGGTAGCAGAGGGCTTGTAATTTGGACATTGCCAGATTTACAAATGATGTTGGTCCACCTAATACCAAATTTTCTTTCATCATCTTTGGTATACATTGTATCTTTAATACAGTGAACATAGCCATCAGTAGATAAGTCTTGTTCTTTGACTAGTCCCCACCAATTCTCTAGGTGGTTATGCATTCCTGGCAAGATTTCTGTACAGTCACTGGGCTCTTCTGCAGTTAAGATTAAGGATTCTTGTATCATATTAACACCCCTTCCAGTAGTAATAGCATCTGGAACATTGACATCAATATGGCAAAACCCAGTTTTATCCCCTGGCTTAGCATACTTGGTGTAGTATGGATAGGAGATTAATTTCCAAGCATGGTCAGGTCTTGTCAGTATGTATTATAGATAGTATGCAGGGTTCTGGTGCATAAGTTGTTAGCTGATACTGTAATACATTGTTCTCAACCATCTGTAATTGTTGCAACCTCCCATCATTCACTAATAATGGTAGTACATGTTGTATTTGCTGTTGACCCAGATGAGTACTGTGGTGGTAGTGCCTTGTAACTTATTGTTCCACCAGTACATTAGCTAGAGAATAACAACAGACCCAGTTATTTCCCATTCCTTCTGAAGATCACTGGTGGTGAACTTGTTAACTCCAGTTATTCACATGTATTGATTGAAGTTGAATGTTCTCATATTTGCAACCAGAGGGATAATTGGCTGATGTTTGAATTTGTAAATGTCTAAAGCATCTTCAGCTCTAGCTGGTCTATTTGCCAAACAGAACCAGAGATAGGTGCTGTCATTGATCTTGACTGAGCTAATGTTATGATGATTCCTATGGATGTAAGCCAAACAGTTGAGAAGCTCCTCCCTATTAAGTATGTGAGTCTGTAAACCAAGTTTTGAAGCCATTAGTTTAGCATGGTCATAGCATAGATAGATGTCAGCTTTCTTATTGCTAAAGACCTTTCCTAACTGCTCCAGAATATGAATAAGCTCCAACTCTGAATGTGTTTTTGTACTCTTTATCTTTTGGAGAAGCTGCTGTTTGAAACCATGACAATGGCAAGTACCAGAGTGTACTACCATGACAGATTCTTCTTGTTCATGTCAGAGTATTTCCTTATCACTTTCAGAAGGAATAATGGACTCATCTTCATCACCTAGGCCTTGGAGGGTTTGGTGTGCTAACATGACTGTGATTCTTTCACTGCAGCACTTTGGAGCTTCTGATTGGCTGAGTGGATTGGCCAGCATGCTGGTGAATCCAAATGACAGCTGTGATTGGCCAGTTTCCAATCCACACAATCTAATCAACATTGTACTATGTATAGAGGCTCCTGATACATTGTGGCTATGCAGCATCAACATCCCACCCATTGAAACATCTCTTGATGATCTTGGTGACTGTGGTCCTTCTAGTAGACCTCAGGGACTGCTTGCAGTGGGAGGGCTCCTAGTGATATTCTGAATTAAATATTGGGAGCTAGATGACTGTGGAAGAGCCAACAGCTGTAGAAGACCATAGTTTCCAATAGTAAGTTCTTGTTGGTGTAGAGCATCTCTTGAAGAAAGTTCACAAGTGTAATTAACTTCTTTGTCAGCTGTAATATAATTGCCTGACAATATAACTAAGCTCTGGTAATGTCCAGCTCCTGTAGCATCTAGTCTTTGGAGCACTGTGCTGTTAATATTATTGGCAAACTTATCCCAATCCTTGTAGACATTTAGAGTATGGTGAAGCTTTTGTGCAGCCCACAGACTCTCCACTTTTGGCCATATGACATCAATCCTGTCTATCTCCCATGTAGCAACAAGCCTATTCTTGATCTTTTGCATATCAATGTGATGTCATTCAACATCCAGAGTAACCTTTTGAGCATCATGGAAATCAGCTTCAAAATTGATGTGTGTAACATGTTGCCAAGCTCTGGATCTTTCAACATATTGATAGAAATGAGCCACTAAGTCAGTGACTACATCAGTCACTTGCATAAGTGTATTCATCAGCTTGACTTGTAGACTATATTAATGATGTGGAGCTTGATTATCAATGTATTCCATAGCTGCTGTTAGATTATTGAAGAAATAGCCATCCAAGTTGACTCCACTGTCTCTGGTAACAACCAGGCCTTGGTTTTCAGTTGCTGGTGCTAAAGAAGGCAGGTTGCTTCATCCAGCCATTTTTGAAGAATATCAGGGATCAAAAAATTTGCAAATATCAGAATAACAGAATAGAAGAAAATGTTAAATCTGTAAAAAGAATCAAGCTTGAATGTAAAAGAAAGTAAAAGCTCTAGCAAAGAAAAATTGACCTTTAAATATCTTCAGAAAAAGTGAATGCTAAGCAAATAACAAAGAAAGAGAAACTTCCCAAAAGAGCAAGCAAAAACTTCACTTTGCAGGCAAATAAAAGAAACTTCTCAAATAAGCAAGCAAAAAACTTCACCTTTGCAAACAAAACACAACAAATTAAACATCTTGTGAAGATATAACAACAGCAAAGCTCCAGTCATCTGGTATAACAGTTGGAAATTGCATTTGCTCCATTTCTCCTTGATCATTTTCATTTTCACTCTGATCCAAGAAGCTAACATTCAAGAAACTGCTAGAGGAAATATTAGATCAACTTCTGATGGCATATCTTTAAGAGATGTTCTCCATCTCTACATCAGAATCTGCTGGGCTATCATTGAATAACTCCATTCCAGGTTTCATAAGGTACTTCTTTAATCTATTTCCTGCAATAGATTCTTTGAGTTCAGTACTGTCTAACTCTTCAAGATGATAGGCACCTAGTTCTTGATTGGCAGACTTAACCCTATAGAGTTCTAGCCATTAAAAGTGCAGAATGTTATTCCTAGACATATTCTGTTCTCCTTTGGTATTGTGAAGCAAGATAAGATCTCCAGGTAGAAGAGAGTTGGTCTGAATATTATGAGTATCATCAAAGTATTCCTTATTCCTAGCATGCATTCAGAGCTGATGATGAGCTGCTTTCAGAACATTCTTATCTTGTCTTTTGATTTGCCATGCTTGCATCAGAAGCAGGTCTTCAGTTATTTGAATTTTTTGCCAGAGAATTGTTTGCCAAGTAGGAATCTTGAGTTTAATTAGAAGAACTGTCTCCTGGCTCATTAGCAATCTATAAGAGAAGACACCAGTACTAGCCTTAGTTGTTATTTGATCTGCCATCAGAATTGCAGGAAGATGTTTAATCCAATCCCTCCCAGTGCTATTGGTAGCTTTAGCTAGCCCATCAGCCAAAGACTTATGGCCAACTTCCACCATACCATTTGCAGGAGGGTTATAGGGCAAAATAACAATACATTTAATGTTGAATTTCTTCAGTAAGATCTCCACAACATTCTTATTTTCTGGTCCTCCATCCATAACAAATTTGGCAGGCAGGCCCCATCAACAGATGATATCCTCATAAAGAAATTTGGCCACAGCTTCAGCTGTTGCCTTTTTCAAGGCTCTAGCTTCCACCCATCCAGTGAAGTCACATCTGGCAACAACCAAATAATTTCATTCTCAACAGAAAGGCATGTGCTTGATATCCACCCCAACTTTCTCCCAACAGATAGGGGCCCAGGTAGAATGAAGCTTTTCACTCAATCTTTGTGAATCTCTTTGTTGATATTGAGAACAGTGCTTCACATAAGCAGACACATCTTTATACATCCCTGACCACCAGTATCAAGCTTGTAGGGCAGAGTATGTTCCCTCTCACTCTTTATGACCAAATTTGTCATGCATCATGTGTAAAATTTGTTCACACTGTTCTTTGTTGTCCACAACACATCTTAGAGACACACCAGATCCTGCTTGCCTAAATAGCTGATCAGTCTCCACCACATATTTAATTGCTTTTCTTCAGAATCTCATGTATTCTTTTCCTTCCATGCCCAATGGTTTTGATAGGGTGGTTAGATATCATGCAATTTTCTCCAATTCTTCTGAATATGTGGAGTCTAGTATCCTAAGGTCTTCACTATTGAGAGCTCAGCCAGCTAAAACTCTTATAGAATTCATAAAGGCAAACAGATCTTCATCTTCTTCAGATTCAGACTGTTCTCCAATATCTAGTCCTTGATAAGATAGTCCATCAGCAGCTGTGTGTTTTGTCCCAGGAACATGTTTAACAGTAAAGTTGAAGAGGTGTATCCAAGCTATCCAGTTAGTAACCAAAGCTCCTGGAACATCTGTAGCAGTTCTATTAAGTTGGGCAACAAGAGTTTTTGCATCAATTTTCAAGATAAAGAGCACTCCATAGATATAGTGTTGGAATTTCTTGAAGGCTTTCAAAACAGCTCTGCATTCTTGTTTGCCAGCATCATATGTTTTCTCTGAATCACTCCATACCCTGGATTTGTATCATGCAGGATGTTGAGCTCCTTGTTGCTTCTGAATAATGCATCCTCCCCATTCTAAACCACTGGCATCAACAGCCACAGTAATAAGCAAAGGATCCTGTTCATAATTGATTGGAAGAATGATAGAGAATGAACATAACTTTTCTTTCAAAAGCATAAAGATGTTATTTTGCTCTTCAGTCCATGTCCATGTAACATTTTGTTGAAGCAGATAATGTAAAGATTTGGTTATCCAACTATAATGCTCTATAAGTATTCAGAAATATCCAGCAAGCCCTAGAAATCCTTGTAATTCTGTAATGCTTGTAGGAGTAGGCCAATTCACAATTTTAGCCACCTTGGCTTTCTCAGGTCATCATCTGTCATAGTTACAGACCCATTCAACAACATTGACTCCAGACATGCAGAATTGAGATTTGGTGCCAGAGATTCTGGCCCCAGAGATTTTGACAAGCCACAGAATGTAGTCCAGATTCTACAGATGGTCATAAACAAATCTTCTTATTTCTGGAAGGACTTCAGTTTCATCTTTAACATGTGATTCTTTTACCCCAAGGTCATCCATAAAGGCTTGAGCAATCTCTGGAAAAACCTTGTGTATTATCTTCATTATCCCACATTGGGCTTGAGCTGGTGAATTTGTTGCCTCTTGAACTAAAGTTGTATGGTGAAAGAGCCCAATAGGGATTGCAATGGCTGTCATATCTCTGCTTTCTTCAGCTAACAGAAAATTATTG